GGTCCCACAAACATCGATTTGGTGATATCATCCAACTAACTCGTCTCACAGACTGTCGCCGCCCTTCTGTTACTGAACCTTCCCTCACCGTCAGCAACCTTCATCGCCCTTGCCAACGTCCTGAACCGCCCGTTGCCTCTGAGCTTTTACTCCGAAGACCCCGGTGCGAAGGCTTCAGCCTACAACCTCGTGATGCAGACTTTGAGCGTCAAGGCTCCCCGTCTTCACGAGCACCTGACCAAGGATATCTCCGAGGGGGACGCGGATTTCTACCTCGGCAACTTCTTCATGGGACTCGGAACGACACACCTGGCCATGGACGAGGCCGCTCGCCTGTGGGACGTGTACGTCTTTGAGGGCGATGCAGTCTTGGTGCGAGCAGCTGTGGCTACGCTCATGCGTCACGAAATGGCTCTCCTTGGCGCCAAGTCGGCTGGGGAAGCCAAGAAGCTGGTTGAGAGCGGCGCCAACAAGGATGGCCGTAAGGCTGTCGTTGGGGACGATGGCGCCGAAGACCAGTGGATGCGATCAGTTCGGGAAGCGGGCAAAGCCTAATCTGCTCCGAACCGTCTCGTATCAACCCAAATTTTTTTTTACGCTTGATGAATATTTCGGCTTTGGAAAACTACGACATGATCCTAACTGTTTATATCTAATCTCCTGGGCCGGTGTCGTACCGGCCCTTCCATCGGAGGGAATCGCACATACACCGAAAAACAACAACACTCAACTAAGCTCACATGAGGCAGTCGGCTGCAAGCTGTCTACTGATGGGCGTGTATAAAGAGCAACCGGCGTCTGCGGCGCGATGGACATTACCTGTGGGGAGCTGGCTTTTGTAGTAGCAACATTTTTGTGGCTTTTTTTTTTTTTTTTTTTTTTTTTTTTTTATCTCTACCTGTACGGGATATATACTATTCTCGTCTGTCTCTTGGATGTTTCGCAGTGCGCGAGCATTCTCATGGACAAAAGACAGACATTGTTGTGGCATGTAGATATACAGACGCTGGGCGCCGAGGCAACTTGACCATGCGGAACATGGCAGGCCCGGCTTTCCCTGTGGATAAAAACAATGTTTGTCTATATCTTGCGGGACAAGAGATGTCTCTGGATAGAGGATATAATCTCTATTGTTTCTACATCGTCGTTAATTAGGGAGCACATTTGTTCGCCCCGTTGACGACTTGGGGGTTGGTGTTTAGCATCAAACATTTTCTGGCGTCGCTAGCGATCCGCATCTTGTTTTCTTCTTCTTGAACCGGGCGGGGTTCATGACGTTGTTTCAGAGGTGTCGATCACCTCTTTGATATCCCATTCGTATCATAGTCGTATTGTAGAAGAATCCACGTGTGCTAGCATTTACAACTCATATTTGAGTCTGGAGAAGCGTCGTGACTGAGCCTGACAACGTAGTTAAACTCGCAATCACATGGCTCATCCTATGAAGGACTCCTAGAATGCTTCATGAGGCTTCTGCGACACAGGATTTGGATCTCTACAAGATTATGTATGTATGCACTTGCGCTCGATGGGAGATAAGATAGATGGCCCCACCTAAACATATCCGTTTGAGCCTGTAGGCCTGGTACATCACTAAGCGGATTATCTTGTGATGCATCGTGATACATTGGCTTGGTCGCTAGAGCCGTTAACCGAGATACTCCCAAATATGAGGCCTGGGGGGGCAGCATCACGAAGAAACGTAATTCACTTGCACTTGTCAATGGCACAGCGCGTGTCTTCAAATCCATGAATTAACTAACCTTCCTGTGCAGATGCCCAACCTCACCTGACCGCCCAAATGAGAAAACAACTGGGAAAGGCTCGTGACGGGCGCCCCCTTTAGACTTTTCACTCCTCATCATGGCCCCTTTTTTGCTCTCTTTCCAGGAACTGCGACAACTTGTGAGCGGACGATGGCTGTTGCTTCCGTCCTCGTCTAAAACACACAACAAAAAATCCTCAAACCCCTCATGTCATCCCTTGCCTAGGTACTATGGTACCCCTTTAGTTGACAATCTCCTCCGTCTCCTCGAGAACCTCCTCCACAATCTCCTCAATGATCTGCTCCTCACCCTCGCTGGCCTGCGTCTTCTGGGAGAGGAGGTAGGCGACAATGTCCAGGGGCAGACCGAGGTCCGTGCGCTCGTCGGCGACCTCCTCCTCGATGGACTCGCGCCAGGCGACCCACTCGGCGAGCTGGCGGCGGCGGGCCTCGACGACCTCGCGGTCGGCAGAGGCACCGCGGTCCATGTCCTCCTGCTCGAAGACGCGGCTGTACTCGCGGAGGTTCTTGCGGATCTGCTTCTGCTCCTCCTTGGTGAGCAGTGTCGGGGGGCGGGGGCGCCACGCGAGCTGCTTGAACTTCTCGACGGGCTCCTCGCGGAGAGCCTCACCCTTGAAGTCGTAGATGTGGTATCCGTTTTCCATCTATAGTGAGTTTGGTCAGTAATCGCATTCGTTCAAAGCAAGGGGAAGCATGGCAACGTACAGAGTGCTTCCAGGCGGAGGCCCAGGTGGCGACGAAGCGTCCTGAGGGGTCCCACTCAATGTCGGTGACGCCGTAGTGGTCGCCCGTGTTCATGAGCTGGAGGTTGGCGGTCAGGTCCTTGTCTGACTCGGGCTTCTCGCCCTCAAAGTCGAGGTCGAAGAAGTCAAGGTCGGAGCTCTGTTGGTTGTGGACGGTGGCGATGACGACGAATCTACCGCGGGGGGACCAGTAGATGGCGTTGCTGTTCTTCTTCTCCAGGGTGCGGAGGTGCTTGAAGTTACCAACAACGTTGCCCTTGGCCTTCTCGGGGCAGAAGAAGGCAACGGAGGTCTTGGGGGCGACGGCGACTGCGCCGACGGGCTCAGTTGTCGTGATAATGACGAATCTGTCACCCTTGGGCTCCCAGGCAAAGTTAATGACTGTGTCCTTGATGGTGTCGACAACCTCGACGGGAACGCCCTTCTCCTTGATGCGGAAGATCTCGAGAGTGGTAGCCTGGGACTTCTTGGACTTGGAGTGACGGTCGACCTTGACGCAGAGGTATGAGGCATCGGATTGCCAGTGGAGCTTGGCGTCGGAGACGCTGAAGAGGGGCAGTTGACGGACAACTTCCTTGCTGGGGATGGTCATAAGACCGACCTTGGCGGGGTTGCTGCCGATTTCGGGTGTCCAGTAGGTAAGAAGCTGCTCGTACGTCTTGATACCATCTCTTTGAACGGTGGCCGGGGCCCAGTCGAACTCCATGATACCCTCAATCTTGATGGAAGTCTTGTCGAGGAGGTTCATGCGGGGAAGCTCGTAGACAGAGATACCGGTCTGGTAGTTGAGACGCGCGACGTACTTGTCATCAGCGGACCACTTGAAGGCGGGCCAGAGGAGCTTGCGCTGCTTTGCCTCGTCCATGCCCTCCATATCCAGGTTGGCGAAGGAACGGATAGGCTTGCCAGACTCGGCGCTCCAGATGACGTAGTTCTTGCCATCATCATCGACAGACAAGGCCGGGTGGCCCTCGTCGGGGATGGAGATGGGGCGGGCAGACCATGTAACCAGGTACTTCTCGGAAGGAGACCAGTCGACGAAGGTGACGAAGGGGTGGGGGAAACGCTTCTGCCTTGACCACGACGGGCCGCCCCAAGTCTGAACACCCTGAGCGTGGACCGAGGTGAGGTAGGTTCCCTGTGGTGACCACCGGATGAAGCTGTCTGTCCAATTTTGACGGTCAACGACGTTCTCGGGGATGTCCTTCTCGTTGTTCCAGAAGACGCCGACGGTGTCGCCACGGTACATGGCGAACTGGTCTCTTCCACGGCCGCTGGGGTCCTTCATGAATGATCTCAGGTGCTCGGTCTCGGTGAACTCCTCAATGTGAGGCGGCGTGTACTCCTCGTGGACCTTGCCTTCGCGGCCGTAGCGGTCGACATCGGTGAGCTTGTTGACACGGAGGATGTGCTTCTTGTCGAGAGGGACCTGGTCGAGTCCGCGAACGGCAGCGGCAGCCTCGCTGGGGGAAGAGTACTCGACAAAGGCAAATCTGAGCGGTCATAGTTAGCATTGCTATTTTGTCTCGAACGCGATCCATCTCTTTGGGTAAGATCCGAGATGGGATCCACCAAGGCAAACGTACCTCAGCGACTTTCCATTCTCGCCCATGGGCATGTAAATCAGGTCCTCCCTCGTCTTTCCAACAGAGTTCAGCTTCTTCAGCAAGAACTTGACCAGCTTGGGCTTCTGGTCCTCGTTCACTTCGGGAAGGCCATCGATGACCACGAAGGTGTCGTATCCTTGCTCCAGCTGAACCTCGTACTTTTCGCGCAGGTCGGAGATGTCGATCTCCTCCTCATCGTACTCGTCGTCGTCGAGATCTGCCTCGCGCAGATGGTCGAAAGAAGGCGCCATGATTGCGACGACTGGATCAGTCTACAGTCGAGGTGTGGCGGTTGTGCTTTCTTCGGAATCGGGGGACGGAAGGGGAAGGGGGTGCGTGTCTCTCGGTGAGGAAGCGTTGCGATGGCCTTTCTGTGGTGGGAGGAAAAAAAGAGGTGCCAAATAGAGTGGGGTTGGGTGGCTTTCCAGTGGTTGAAAAGTGCCCCGCGATTTTCTCGGTTTTTTTGTGAGGGTTTTGGACTTGCGGAGCGCTTCAAGGTGGCTCTGGATGCAGGGCAAGTACGGTGCAAATTCTACGAACTGGCTCTGGAGATTTTGATGCTAACGACTTATTGACCGAATGGATTTCACGTCTCGAGGGGGAGTTCTACAGCGGGGGCAAAAGGGGACCAAGTGACTATCGCGCACACAATTTGGACCTCGTTTTGGAAAGTTTTTGGTGATATGGCAGATTCGTGTGGGCTGGATTATTGGGTTGTTCCGGCCCCGGAGTAAGCCCCTCGCTACCTTCGGTACCTTACCTAAGAAACCACGGTACCTGCCCGGTCGCGACTGTCACCTCCAATAAAGTCACGTGGAGATTCTGCCAGTCCTCACCGTCAGGCACACTTTCCCATCTTGGATTGCTTCAGGGTCACTCACCGCCCAGAGAAGCTTCCCCCGATAGGTAAGATGTAACCCCGCCAGGTGCCAATTGCAGCCATGAGCGGCGGCGCGCACTGACCACTGGCAACTGCTACAGTGGAGGATGGACGTCTGTAGAAACACCACAGCAGCTTTGCTTCGCTGACCACACTGCCTGGAAGCTCCTGCCCAGCACACCCCCACTTCGCCAGGCTGAACCCCCCCAAATTTTCTACGACGATTTTCTCGGTGAAGCTTCCCCAAGGCTGAGGATTCCGTACTACTCAGACACCTTTACTTCCCCCCACTCACCCAGTCACCGATTCGACTTTCGATACAGAGTGTCTGCATAATACACATTCACCATGGTTCGTCTCAAGCATCTGTTGCCCCGTGTGCGTGGGCTGTGACGCTGACAAAAGTGTGCCCCTCTAGTCGTCCTTCAGCCCGACACAAATCTTCGAGGACGGTACCACGGAGGAGAAGGGAGAGAATGCCCGTCTCTCCGCCTTCGTTGGCGCTATCGCCGTCGGCGATCTCGTCAAGAGCACCCTCGGTCCTAAGGGTATGGACAAGATTCTGCAGTCTGCGTATGTTGAACCCCGCCTACTTTTGAATCACCCCCCATTCCGCTGTGATCCACTGACATGGCTGACAAACGTCCAGATCGACTGGCGAGATCATGGTCACGAACGACGGCGCTACCATTCTGAAGTCTATTGCCCTCGACAACGCTGCGGCCAAGGTGCTGGTAAACATTTCCAAGGTCCAGGACGATGAGGTCGGTGATGGTACTACATCCGTTGCTGTCCTTGCGGCGGAGCTTCTGCGCGAAGCTGAGAAGCTTGTCGACAAGAAGATCCACCCTCAGACCATCATCGAGGGTTACCGGATAGCAAGCCAGGCTGCCCTCAAGGCCCTGAAGGAGTCTGCCGTCGACCGCAGCAACACTCCCGAGGCATTCAGAAAAGACCTGCAGGCCATTGCCCGCACCACCCTCAGCTCCAAGGTTCTGGCCCAGGACCGCGACCACTTCTCCAAGCTCGCCTGCGATGCCGTGCTGCGACTCAAGAACTCCTCCGACCTGAGCCATATCCAAATCATCAAGAAGGCCGGTGGCAAGTTGAGCGACTCGTACCTCGACGAGGGTTTCATTCTCGACAAGAAGATTGGTGTCAACCAGCCCAAGCGCCTCGAGAAGGCCAAGATCCTGGTCGCCAACACCTCTATGGATACAGACAAGATCAAGATCTTTGGCGCCCGCGTCAAGGTGTCAACAACGAGCAAGTTGGCCGACCTCGAGAAGGCCGAGAAGGAGAAGATGAAGGCAAAGGTGGAGAAGATCAAGTCGCACGGCATCAACTGCTTCATCAACAGACAACTCATCTACAACTGGCCCGAGCAGCTCTTCACAGATGCCGGCATTATGTCCATCGAGCACGCCGACTTTGACGGTATTGAGAGATTGGCGTTGGTGACGGGCGGTGAGATTGCCTCGACTTTTGACCACCCCGACCAGGTCAAGCTGGGACAGTGCGATCTTATCGAGGAGGTCATCATTGGCGAGGATACCTTGATCAAGTTCTCTGGTGTTGCTGCCGGCGAGGCATGCACTATTGTGCTGCGCGGTGCCACAGATCAGCTTCTGGACGAGGCGGAGCGCAGTCTGCACGACGCCCTCGCCGTTCTGTCACAGACGGTGAAGGAGCCGTGGACCACTCTTGGTGGTGGATGTGCTGAGATGGTCATGGCTAAGGCTGTCGAGGGTGCTGCCACTCGCGTTGAGGGCAAGAAGCAGATGGCCGTCAGCAGCTTTGCGACTGCGCTGCGCCAGCTGCCCACCATTCTGGCCGACAACGCAGGTCTCGACTCTGGCGAGCTTGTGGCCCGTCTGAGAAAGGCGATTTACGACGGCATGACGAATTATGGATTGGACCTGCTGTCACCCGGCGGAGGCATCACCGACATGCGTGACTTGGGTGTCGTTGAGAGTTACAAGCTGAAGAGAGCGGTCGTTTCATCTGCCAGTGAAGCAGCAGAGGTACGTCCCGCCCCCGTAGCAACGCCTTTGGTGTTGATTGTGAGATGATATTTGGGATAAACGACTAACACACAGTAGCTTCTTCTTCGCGTAGACGACATCATTCGCGCTGCTCCCAGACAACGGCAGCGCGCTTAAACGACACACGCCGATGATGGCAGCACACGAGGATTTCTCGGCAGGAATGGGAGGTCAAGAGAGAGCAAAAAGAGTCATATTCGCATGTTAAGGCTGGGTGAAAGACAAAAAGTGAAAACCATAGACCGGGGGGATCAATCTTGGGCTGAATGAATCAATGGCAGTGTCATGAACGATTTGAACGTCCATTTTCGGGTTCGACTATTGCAATGTCTTGACAGGATGACCCGTTCGTTCTGATCCAACTATTCTGCACATGCGGGACACTTTAAACGAGGGACTGCTAATAAAAAAGACAAAGTCATGAGCTGACATGAGGCTGAAATGTGAGGCTCTATTCGCCCTACCGTATTGAACGGTAAGATTATGGCGTATATCCGTACATGGGGGCGATGGGTGGTGGAAAGATGCGGCTTAGAATTGGATGACAATAAGCTTCGCCTTGCCCTTGGCCGGTCACTAGTAAGGAAGAAGAAGGTTTCTTTGTGCATGATCGACGCGGGATGCCGATTACAGATGGGGGCCCACGGTATTGAAATAGGCAGAAGGATTAATTAATCACTTGATTCCTCCGCACGACATTGGTTGAGAAGTTGAGATTCTTGTGTCCGTGCAAGTTGCAAAAGGACTCACACCCGTAACAGCAGGTGAATACGAATAGTGGGCAAGTAGACTTTTATCCTTAGGGTTTTCTTCATTCTCAATCATCCCATCCCATCCCATCTCTAATCAAGGTCGTTCATCTCAAAACTTGCCAGCGTTTACTTTCGTCTCTTGTATAACGTATTATCCCAGAACTACGGATACGGATTTCTGATCCAAAAAGGGATGGCAGATGCAAAACAAGACCCGGCCCACCGGGCCCGCAGATCGGAATGTCGAGGGATGGAGTCGGAGCCTGGAGGGCAAGCAATTGTCCATGAGTCGCACTGATTCTATTCCTTCTCCACACACCAACCATGGCCGCTCTCACCAAGGACCAATATGTGCGGTATGATGTACACGTACGCCGGAGGCCGTGCAAAAGTATCCCCCCGGTGCAGAAGTATCCCTCCAGAAAATCATTACGGATGAATTCAGGAGTAAAACTCAACTCCTATTCTTACTTGCTTTCTGTTGGAGGAGGGCCCAGTAACTTGGGTATGGCTTAATGCCCCGTCAGCTAAGGCTCAGGTACGCATCACGTACCGGGGAAGCCACATTGACCGTTACAGACAGCTGCGCCCATGACGCCATGCTTTCGTCTGTTTGTTCGTTCTTGCCGTTCCCCCCCCACCCTCTCCATCTGTGCTCAGTACTCCGTACCACTTTCTGCTATTCTTCACCCCGGTTCACAAACGGCCCCGTTTGTACGCAGTATCCGTAGCGAAGGCCCAGGCCCATCCCATGCCAACCTGTCGCGTCCCACGCCACGTTTCTTGGACGACCACTGACGGTTGGTTGACCAGTGTTCAATACGATACGGGCGAGAAACTACTACTACCACCAGGACGGGGATTTGCAGCTTCCAACCAAGATTTCTTCTCGCACCCTCGTGTGTGGACCGGCTGTACGGCACAATGACGGTAGAATGCTACGCCGTACTGGACGGGCGGCCCGCTAGAACATGATTGGCTCGTACCTTGGTCAGAGATAGAAAGAAGGCACAGCAAACGCTGGATGGACTCTCCCAGCCCCTCCAAGTTGCCCGAGTTCTAACTAAAGGTGGGAAGAGGAAAGTAGGGTTTGTCACTTGGCAGTTCGTTGGTGGTTGCTTCCCATCTGCTTGTTTGCCTCTTGTACTACCTTCTTACCTACCTTACACAGCAATGAAGTGCCTCATTAGGTATTCGTTGCGTGTAGCTGCGGTAGCGACCGCAGCCAAGCCCATTAACGATTGCCCCAAGATAGCTACCCATTACCTGATACCTTGGAGGCTCCCATCGTGGTATCCGTATGGGCGGGTGTTTGTCACTCGTGTGTGTGTCGGGCGTACGCTAGCCATTCTTCAGGAAGCACTACCCTCGAGCCGGCCTTGTCTTGCATGTTTCTTCTATTCCTTCTTCCCCTTCCCCCTCGTCTTTGTCCTCGCTCTCCCTCTTCCTTCTTCTATTTCTAGTCTGGGCTTGTTCCATCAGCTTTGACCTTGCTTTGCCTAGTCTCTAATCCCCCCGTCAGCTTACCTTGGGCTTGTCCGTCACCTTGCCTGCCGCTTCCATCTTTTCATAGGCGCGCGCCGCCGCACCCAGGCAAAGTCTCGTCTGCATCCGAGTGTGGAATTTGGACCAACAAATGTCATGGTCGCAATAGGATCTCTTACCTTACAGTAGCATGATCCTTTTGCCACTCTTCTTTGGTTCTTCTTCTCGCATCCCAGACCATTCCCCCGTCATCTTTTTATCCCGTTACATCTGGAGTCTCCGTCTCTCCGCTTGCCAAGCCGGCGCTGGGTAGGGCAAGTTGACAGACGCCGATGGCGGCCCCGCTGAAGAGACATGGCATCTTGGCGGCTTGGTGAGTAAACACCCTCATTCCCTGCTGTACTACCTTTACTTTACCTCCCTTACCTGCTATGCGGTCTCAGATGGCATCAGAGAAGTCTCAAACCTGCAGCTTTTTTTTGATTCGACCTCTCTTATTTCTTGCTCAATTGTTCTGGGGCCTGCGACATTGACATTGCTGACATCAACTCTGCTACCAGTATTTTACTACTTGCATGCACAGCATGGATATCCTTACGGTTTAACAGCAGCGCTGCTTTTGGTCAGTGAAACCCACGGACTCTTTCCTTTACCTCATTTACAGATTGCGACACAATCATCGCATAAACGACAACTATTACTAACACTAAGCAGAGCGGCCAATACATTTCTCCATCCTGACGCTCTTCGAATCCGGCTTGCTCATCGCTATATGGTGCAGACAACTATTGCCGTGGAAAAGTTCGAGCAGCAGATATCAACTCGCAACCTTCTCTTCCTCGAAAAATGACTGGCAAAGACGACTCCAAACCGGCATCGACGTCGCGCGCAACCCTCGGTTCTTGTTGTCACCTTACTTCTTCCTAGGATGCGCTCTTGTCCTGCGGTCGCTGCTCTTTTGGCGCACCATCCGCACGATTCACTGCTCATGGGAAAGCTTCGAGGTTCGTCTCCCGGCAGCTGTCGCAATGTTGAGAAAGCCCATGATCGGAAAGAACTAACACGCCGCGCGCAGGTATTTCTCCCAGCTCTTGTCGTCCTCTACACGACGGTTTCTCCCTCTACCATACGACTCCAACAACACACTGGCGACCAAGCCCGATCCCGACACTACTGTAACGTTGCTCACTTGCGCTACTTCATTATTGCTATCGTATGGGCCTGCGCCACAAGGGCCACGCTCGCACTGTCAACACAGTCAGCCGGCGCAATCTGCCCTGCAGGCTTCTTCCGTTGGGAAAGACAGATCCCCATAGTCCAGGTCGTTACTGTCATCTTGGATGCGCTGCTGTTGTTCTACCTCTCGAAATGGCGGCAGGACACTGTGGACGATGCGCCACAAGCATGGGGATTCGTGTCAAGACTCTTTCTAGGTTCCGCAGGCGTACTGGCTTTGCTTGCCTGCTTCTCCCTCCACAATGCTCGAAACACCCGGTGGGCGTTTGGACTGCAATTTGTCGAAATCAGAGATCTACTGACGGACAGCACGGTGGCGTCGCTGGGGCTGATTTTGGGATTTTATGTCATGAGTGGCATGCATCCTAGCACGTTGGGGATGGTTGTCACGGCTTCAGGCGTTTATGCCCATCAGCTCGTCCGCATACTGCAGGCCGCGCTACCCATGGACGGTTCTCTGCACTACATGATAGCTAGCGCTCTTACGATTGTAGGTGTCGGCCTCCTTTTGCGATACGAAAAGGATATCGCCAATGCCTCTGGGTCCTCGTCGGGGGATCCACGACTCATCAGGTTTCTCTTGATGTGGTACGTCGTTCTTGTCGGCGTCCTCTGTGGAACATACCTCATCTTCTACCCGGACTTCAACTCTACCGATACCCTATCCTTCCCCGATCTCCTTTCTGCGGCAAACACCAAGTCCGACACCTGGATCGGGAGAGCGAATCAGAGCTCCACCTTCGAGGGCGCAGCGAAAGAATATCAACAGCGGTATGGTGTGGCACCGCCTCCTAACTTCGACAAGTGGTACGAGTACGCTGTTGCCAACGGCTCGCCCATTATCGACGATTTCACACAGATCAATGACGATTTACTTCCGTTTTGGGGCGTTGCGCCGAACGTTCTACGCGATCATACGAAGCATTCCTTGGAGATTCCGTGGCTTGGCATGGGAGGCATTCGGATTCGTGGGGGAAAGGTCAATGTGGCTCCCGGTACGCCTGGGTCTCACATGTGGATGATGACCTCTATGAAGAACATGATTGAGGACTTTGCCGAGCATCTCCCCGACATGGACTTTGCCATCAATCTGAACGACGAGCCTCGCGTGGCAATCCCATTCGAAGACATGTCGAGGCTTCACAGCGTTGGCTTGGAGTCGAGGACAAAGCTACTCCATACGAAGGACCGAAAGAAGTTTGACAGGTCCAAGTCGGCAGTCTGGGGCGACGATGATGCCGTGAAGGGACCTGAGGCGCGGTCCCCCTTCTTCGAAGACCGCATCCGAGATCAAAACTACTACGAGTTTGTTGCTCCAACCTGCCCGCCTGACTCCGCCGCCCGGAATACGAGATGGTGGAGCACCAAGGAGGCGTGCCGTGGATGCCTCCTGCCGCATGCTATCCGCGTCTTTGAGGCGCTCGTGAACCCCGTTGTGTCGAACTGGACCTCGGCAACAGACCTCTGCCATCAACCGGATTTGGCCTACCTTCACGGATTTCTACTGTCTCCTGCGCCAGCCCTGTTCACCAAAGAGGCATTTCCCGTGTTCAGTCAAAGCAGGACGTCAGGGTTTGCCGATATTTTGGTGCCTTCGCCTTGGAACTACGACGACAAGGCCGCATATGATGAAAACGAGGATATGGAATGGAGCAAGAAGAAGAACACCATGTTCTGGAGGGGCTCATCTTCGGATGGGTACGCAGCCCGGGGCTCGTGGCAGGGCTTTCTCAGGGCCCGATTCGTCCAGGCTGCAAATACGATCACAAGGGTTGCCAAACTTCAACAGGACGGTCAGACCAAAGTCTTGGGACCAGATGATGCGCCAGATTTTGACGTTGGGTTCGTAAGCAGATGGACCAAGTGCCACCGAGAGGACTGCCAGAGCGAAAAGGATACCTTCTGGGGCATCGGCCAGGACTCGCCCGACAAGTCGCAGGTTCCTTTCACCGACCATTGGAAGTACGCACACCTGATGGACCTCGACGGCGCGGGATTCAGCGGACGTTTCATCCCGTTCCTCCGCAGCAAGAGTCTCGTTTACCGCTCCGGCCTCTTCCGGACTTGGTTCAACGAGAGAGTCCACGCGTGGCGCCACTACGTCCCCGTCGATGTGCGACTCCACGAGCTGTGGGATCTCCTGTCGTACTTTGGGATTGACACGGAAGGCAAGAGGCGAGCAGAGGCTATTGCGGAAGAAGGCAGGGCGTGGAGCCGCAAGGCACTTCGGAGAGAGGACATGCGCGTTTACATGTTCCGGCTACTGCTGGAATGGGGACGACTGGTGGATGATGAGAGGGATCAACTTGGTTTTGTGGTTTGATGAAATACCCCCTTTTTTTTTCCCCTTTATTTTCGTTACAATACCGGTTCGATAGCATTGGATGCATGGCGTAACTTGGCTAAGAATGGGGCCTCCGGCGTTGGGTTGATCAGAGGGCTCATGTTTGACATCCCGTTGATAGAGCATCTAGGGATTACGACGAACGAACACGATTATAAGTAGAGGCTTTGGGCCACTCTAGGTACATAAATGAGGACATCACTGCCATTTGGCACTTCAAGTTGATTTCTTCCAGATTCATTATGAAATGCTAATTCCTTCACATCATAGCTCTTAGATTCAGCTCTCGTATTTACTTCAGTTGACTATAAGTACTGTGTATAAGTCACGATAGCGTGTAGCCTAATCATTGATGCGCGACTGCCATAGTGTGAGTTTGCCTCGAAGCTGGAACCATCTTGAGGCTCATGGACCTTGGACTCATCCGTCTTCCATGTGCTCACGCTGAGATACACCACTGACCTCATTCGCTGGTGTCAGCTATTAAACCCTGTCCAAATGTGAGTGTGTATGGAGGCTCTGATTGGATGGTTAGGCTTGCCGCCTACCTTATGCAGACAGAAACGACAGGATACGCGCCTGTCCAGCCTGCCTTGAACTTGCTTGGCTCCTCCTCCTCATCCTCCTCGCCTCATGGGCACCCAGTATTCAGGCAATCGCAGCAGGCAAAATTTCTGGCAGGCTCTTGACGGCATGGGTTTAATTGTGCAATAGGGGTGTTACCTTCGCTCCTGCACCGTAGTATCTTGGTGCTTGGGTGGTGCAAAGACACCCTAAGCTGGCAGTTTGTTGGTTTCTTCTTGTGGCCGAACCTCAGCCTGGTCACAAATTCTTCATTCCCCCCAGAACGAGGCTCTTCTAGTGTCACACAACATCATCTATTTTTGCTGATTTCCTGGTTACGGGCTTCAGAACGCGGGTATCGGCATTTCTCAAACTTGACAAACCTTCTTCAGGAAACCACGACAGTCGTCCAGATGCTGGCACCGACCTTCAAAACAATAGTCCACAACCCGAGGACACTGCGAGAACGACAGAGGACGATTCTCGAGGCAACGTAAACGCGCCACCGAGGCGAGAGACCGACTCTGCACGAGATCCGGGTAGACGCATTGCACATACCGCCACAAAGAAGTCGGACGCATCTCCTCACGGCATCAAAATCCTCGTCCCTCAGCCGGCGGACAAGTCAGGCTGCGTGGACATTGTGGCCATTCACGGGCTCAACGGCCATCGCGAAGAGACATGGACGGACTCCCAAACAGGATTGCAGTGACTGAGCGACTTTTCATGCCTGCCGAAAGACATGCCCACGGCACGAGTATTGACATTTGGTTATAATTCCAAGACCTACTTCAGTCGATCCGAATCAGATATACCGGACTTTGCCTCCGAACTACTTTACGCACTAAAGTCACAGCGAATAAGCGAAGAAGAGAGACAGCGCCGCATAGTCTTCATTTGCCATAGTCTCGGGGGTCTGGTCTTCAAACAGGTACGTGCAGTGATTCTTGTTTCTGCCCTGCCTTCTTTTCAGACCTCCTCTGCAACCTTCCGTCCGCAAGATGCTGCTGCTTTTCGAAACCATGCGAAACTTCCTGCTGACGGAATCAGGCCGTAATCATGGCTCATGAGCAAGACCGCCACTACTCGTGTATCTTGGACCATATTCACGGTGTGGTTTTCCTCGGCACCCCACATCGCGGCTCGAGCCTAGCTACTTGGGACGAAATCGGCACGCTCGTTGTCAAAGCTAGTACACTTGGATACTCGAGCAATAGCAAACTATCGAGCAGTCTGAAAGTCGATTCGAAGTTCTTGAGACGCATAACAGAATCGTTCGCAGCTCGTGGGGAAGACTTTGAAGTTAGAAGCTTCTATGAGACTAAGCGGATGAAGGGTTTGAACTGCCAGGTAGCGTAGTCTGCCAGGCATCAGGATCATGTGTGGAAACTGACAATAGAACTTCAGGTCGTCGAGAAGGAATCGGCCAAGTTGAATTGGCCTAAAGAGCTGTCCATTTCCTCGAACGCCAATCACTCCGACATCTGCAAGTTTCCGTCACCAGAAGACTCGCGATACAAGCTTGCTTCTCAAGCTATTCGCGAGGAGGCGGGGGAGTTAGCATCTGGCACTGATGTTCGTGAGTTTTTGTCAAGGCAATTGCCATTAACTGATCACTAACACATCGATTAATTGAACTTAAGTGCTCGATCCGCTAGCGATGGCATGCCTAAGGGAACTCAACTCAGCCTATGAATACCATCTTGACCAAATCGACAACCCGATTTCCAAGACTTGCGAGTGGTTCACATCACATACGCAATGGAATCGATGGGACTCACTTCCAGGCTCGGGTCTTCTATGGATCACAGCTGATGCTGGCTGTGGGAAGTCGGTATTGGCGAAGTATCTTGTCAACTTTTTTCGAGAACGGACCTCTAGGGCACACCTTCATACTCATGTCTGCTATTTCTTCTTCAAGGAAGGACTAGAACACCAGGACAACGCACCATCTGCTGTTTCAGCGATCCTTCACCAGCTATTCTCCAATCAACGTCGATTAATGCACCACGCCATGGCCAAATACTCTAACATGCCAAAGAACAGTTTCAATCGCTTTTCCACACTATGGTGCATTCTCCTAGCAATGATGGAAGATCCCCAAACAAAGGACGTGCTGGACGGTCTGGATGAGTGCGAAGACAAGTCATTGGAAGAGCTCATCAAGGCTCTGGCGGACTTTGTTCAGTCTCGCAAAACGATACCCAACAAAGCAAGGCCAGCCTGTAAGATCATTCTCCTAAGCCGGCACCTCAATTCTATCGAACGGAGGTTTGGACTCCGGCCGAGCATCGGTAGCCACGATGCTGGCGCACAGTCCAGCGAAGGGTGTGTCAATTTCAGGCTCAGTGCCGAGGAGGAGAGTGCCTCCGTTGCAAAGGATATCGCTCAATTCGTCGCATCAAGAATTTCAGATCTTGGCCGACAGTCAGAAATATCCACCGAAATTCTGCATCGAATTGAGAAACGGCTTATCAGCAGTGCCGATTGCACTTTCCTTTGGGTGTCTTTGGTCATGAATATCGTGAAAGGAGCGGAGGTTGACGGAATTTCAATGGGCCAGATTGAAGCCATCTTGGCCACCACCAAGCTCGAAGACGTCTACGAGAAACTCTTGTCTGGTCGAGCATCACCTTTGAAGTCCAGGAAGGTTTTACTGCTTATTCTTTCCGCTGTTCGCCCATTGACTGTGGAAGAGTTATGCGGAGCTGTGGAAGTTAATCAAGACTACCACCAACAACAAGATACCAAAGAGTCGGAAAGAGTCATGGCCCATTTAGAATCGATATCTCTCCATGAGCTCGGTCAACGGAAGGAAGTTTCCAGAGCTCAAGACCGTCCATAAGTCCGAAATTACCGAGGCCACGACAGGATTATCACCGATATCCTCGCCACCCGCGCTTTGACAAGTGAAAAAGAAGACAAAACGGAGAGTCATTGCTAGGTCCGGAAGAATAACGACCTCGACAAATATGATGCAGAAGCTAGAGAACAACGAAAGAAGAGCTATGAGGGCCATTTCGCTCCGGCCCGGGGCGAACCATGATAGACTCAGTCGACAGCCAGAAGTCCAGACGCGAACAGTGTCGAACTTGTAAGAGCTGCAACATCACATGCACAGGCCGTTCATAAATCATATACGCCAAGTATGTGGGCATTTAGTTAGGATCCGCAAGGGCAAAATCTATCTAGTTCATCAGACAGCCCGCCAATTTCTATTGCATCAACGCAGGGAGCTCGGTTTCGGAGCGATTTCTCAAGGCAAAAAGTACTCTTTACCCACACATCGAGACAGGCAGGAATCAGGAAGCTCGACACTTGTTTCGCAGTGGCAACATTCAATCAGTCTGGCGGATGCAAACCTATACATGCTTCAGATCTGTGCCGATTACCTCGACCTGTTCCGGTCAGCAAAGGCATTCAAGAAGGCTGCCTTGACCAAACAAGAAGCGAACGTTTACCTCAAAGACTGTCGCAAAGACTGTCGCAAGGACCCTCCTCGGGCATTCCTGAGATACGTTTCACGCCATTGGTTGGATCATTATCGACCGATACGGGAGGACCTGAAGCTCTCTTATGACTATCTCCTACAACCAAATACTCCACAGTTCAATGCATGGATTATCTCTCATGGTTCATGGATGCCAGAAGAACAACGGAGGATTTTGGAAATAGGTGGTGTTTCAATTATTAAGGAGGAGGAAGAAGAGCTCAGCATGCCCATGGGCCTCCCCTACCAGGCGGGTCACGGCAGAGTCAAAACGCGTCAAGCTGATGCCAACATCGGCCCTTTGGAGAAAAGAGAGCGAGAACTCCAAGCAGCTCTGCAACATTTCAATCTCATAGGCAGGGAGATTGATATATACGACGAAGAGTTTCTTGACGGGAGACGATACTGGAAAGGGAAAGACTACATTGAATCAGGCGATGCCAGCACCTCAGACGAAGATGAGGAGGCTGGCATGGATATGAAGGAATCGAAGGCAACCGTTCCTGATCGTATGCAGTACTACCGCCAACAGCAGAGTAGGCGTGTGATGAGAATCATTGAGGAGGGCCGAGTCTCAACTTCAGCGTCTATGGCGAATCCAACTTCGTCTCGTTCTTGGCTTGCGTGACGATTTCCTCGGACACGTACCTATGCTCACCAACAGCCTTGTAAAGGCTGTAGATGAACAAGCAACCAGACGACTGATATAGAGACATCAAATCGTAAGGCTTGTCATGATTTGAGTCTCAAGTTCAACCTCACGTACTAGCTGCCTGAAAGTGGAACGTCGTGAAGCGAGGATATAGGCACGAGGAAACGAACTAAGAGGGTTCAAAAGCTCGTGATCGTGATACCCGTCTTTAGCAAACGTAAAGTAAATCACAATAAGAGCGATGTAATATGCCTTACCGGAGCATCTTTCTCATACCAGGTTGTAGATGCGCGTGTTACATGATTCCGAGGTGGAGAGTTTAGAATCCATCTTGCGAGGGTATAGTGACATTGGCTTTGACTTCAAAATACCACGACGAACAGGTGATGCCTATCGTCTGCCGCACCAGCTCTGTTTCATGTTGGCTTCTACTCAACAGCTTTCTACCTGCCTACTGTAGAGCAGACTCTCTCATGCTGCACATCCAGCTCCTCGTTTCCTCCCAGCGCCGGCAGTGATGCGGGGGTCACAGCTGAGCAACCCCTCCGACTGACCCAGCACAAGAAGCAGCCTGTGACAACACCTGGAGAAATCCTAAATACCTACACTCGCTGTCAGGCTCTCCTCTGTGGTTCGGAGATGGCGTTTGTGAGACGCGGGGTCGGATTGTTGGGTTGTCTCAGCCGCGACGGATGTGGCTGGCGTTGTATGACAGGAGGCGCAAACCCGACACTGCTGATAGGTAGGTGTACCGGTGAAGCATTGCAGACGGTGACAGGTAAGCTACAGGTCACACTTCGGACCTATGCTGGATTCTTCTCTTTCAGAGGGACTTGTAATTCTACCTCCGGAAAAAGCCGGGTACTATATAGCGTATTGCAGCCTTCCACGATGAAGCTGTTGAGGCCGGCGGCATGTCAAGGGGCACAAGTGACATCAGAGACATGATACCCAGGCTTCTTGGGAAGTGCAAGTGTACTTTCACATGTCTTTGATGCGATCTGCAGTTCTCTCGAGAGGCAAGGCAGCCAACCGGAAACCGTGACATTGAGCCCATGCCGGGTATCATTCTGCCGTCTGTCACAAGGGCCTGGACGGCGAGCGTTCTTGATAAGAATATGCACGATAATATGTGTTAAAGACGGCTTGTCTGCTATGCAGCAGGGAGTTGTTCTGGGTGAGAAATGGAATTCATGTATCGTGTGATTGGCGGTCAGCAAAGCGCTGTTCCAGGTCTCAGGAGGACTAAGGCGGTGAATAGGAGGCGTGGACCTGGGCTGAGACTTGGGGTGGGGGGGTTGGGTTTCGGCGGTGGCAATCTCTCACGAGATTGATTCACCGCGACTTTCCTACCGGTTTCAACGATTCGATTGCTTCCAGTGGAAGATGGGATCTAAGGCGGTAGGCACAGTACCTAGTATGTGCGAGGCTGTGGCTATTGCGGATGTCTTACCACACTCGCAAATCGTAAACTCTCTTCCAATTCTCTTCGAGTGACATGCCGGAGCTAGAGCCGTCTGTCATCCGGACTGGTCCTGGGGTAACCGAGACAAAGGTGTCGTCAGCTGAAAGCCCTACGAGACATGGTCATCTATAACCGCAATAAGCCAAATCTTTCACCTGCTACCGGTGATTGGTGCTACTACGAATCCCTTCCTCTTCTTCCCCGACGAGACGATGCGGAGCAGATACGGACACACACAACCCTGGATTTCCTCCAAAAAGGCTAGGGCAAATAAACCTGCTTCAGCATTAGCCCTTCGAGACCAGACGGGACGAAGGGAATGCTCCGCGTCTAGCCAGTTACTGACAGTGACATTGCCAGACAAGCGATGTCCGGCCCCGACTCGTGCTTGGTGCGTTAAGTCACAGGACACTTTGCCGAGACGGGGAGGTATCAGCAGAGTGCCAATGCCATCGTTCCCTGATTCCCTCTGCGAAGCTAACGGATGTAAGTGCTAGCAAGGGGTGACCAGCAATGACCAGCAATGACCAGCAATGTCGTGACCTTTAGAGCAGGTTGTGGCGCCTGTCAGTGGTCACTGCCGCCTCGTGTTGCTATCCTTTGGAGGGAAGCAAATCACATGTGAAGGGGAGTCGGTCCTGTGGTCCGTGGAAAAGAGCCTGGCCTCGGGCTCGTTAGGGATGAGTAGCGGGCGGCACCACACCACAAGTCCACGACAGTACTCCGTAGACGATGGTGGACCCGACTTGCACGAGTGTCATGATGAGCAGTGCAGACTGCAGAGGCGTCGTGTAAGTAGCCGTTGGCTGTGGCCTCTGGATGATGAATCTCGGAGGCACACTTTTGCCCCTGGCGCCCTCTGGTTCGCTGCCAGAACGGATATCATTACAGGCAGGGGAGATGGAGCAGGATCAAAATCGAACAATTACCATGTGATAATTGAAAATTGGTTCTAAGCAGCAGACAGACGCCTTACCGACAAGCAGCTTGTCAGCTTGCTCCGATCCTTGTCCCCCGTGTAATTGAGTATGTTGGGGATTGGTCCTTGGGGATCTCGATGGTCTCAGCGTTTGGGTGGAACTGTGTGTATCAATGGAAGGTCTCCACGATAATCGGGATTCTGAGAAGTCGATGGAGCTTTGTTTCCCAGTCCACAGACCATCACAATGGCCGGCATTGACGAGTGCTTCCGCCGCAAGGTATCCATCTGTGCCTAGTCAAGCATTCGTAGCTTGGTGAAGATTCAAGGCTCAAGAGTGAAAGAAGACTGGTGTGTGCTGAACTTCCCGAGGTACGTATCCCTGGAGAGAGCAGGAAGTCACGGCTTGCAAGAGCAAAGTGCAAGAGCAAAGACCGGGGATTCATCCATCTGAGTGGGGTTCTGTCAGTACGTACCAATGAAGCTCTGCCATCGCGACAAGGCCCTGCCCTGGACTGCAACCATCTCAACAAATTTGAACCCCAACAGAAAATCTCAAGGGCAGCAAATAAAAATAAAACTAAGAGAGTAATTGAGGGGGGGGAAAGGAGAGCAACAACTGATCTTCACAACGCTACAGAAGCGAAGCAGGCAAAAACCGGACCCTGGAATGCCATGATGCTTCCAGAAAACGGCTTTCCCACCTTGTTTCAGGGTCTCTGCGTCCTGTTCAAGCAGTGAGCTGTGGAGGCTCTGGAGGATGGGAGTCGAGCGACTCGATCCTGGATCGTTTCATCCTCTGTCTCGCGGGTTTGCCCGAGGCAAGTCGAGTCGAGTCCGGTCGAGAATTGCCGTAGTGTCATTATTCGGTCTCCCCTAGGTATTGCATTGCAAATCTGGGGTGGAAATTGGATGCCATGCGATGCGATTCAGAAAAGTTGCTAGCGGGCGAGAGCGCTTCTTTGGCATTTTCTGGCACGTCGTCGACGAAAGCGAGGGCGTCAATTCAAGATTCAACCCCCTTCCCCAGCTGCGGGCCCTTGATTGGTTACCCGCGTCAGCAACTTGCTCTACTCCCGATTGGCTGGTTCAGGCTGAGGACGTTGCTGGCCAATCGTGAGGCTCCAGTCTGTCGCGTCTTCTCAGTCTGTTCTGCTTTCCGCTGCTTCGTTCGTGGGGTTGAAAGAATGGAACAAAAAGAGAACCGCTTCCTGGCCTGCAGAGAGGTACGTACATTTCGACCATCCCTGTCATCCCACCGAGAAGCGTGGGGAACCTGGGTACGTACTGCCGTCCCTGAAAGCTGAGGATGGCGGGCACCTTGTCGATCGTATCCCCAATGATTCCTGAATCCTGTCAACATTTGAAAGTCCAACATGTTGGCCCTGGTCTACTGCGGCGCAATAGCATTCTCCGCCGTGTACTTATATCGAGACTCACCCCAGAGACATCCCACAATGAAGTAAAATCTCCTGATCGCGAAGCTGTCGGGGTAAGTCGGCGGAAAGATGTACTGAGCTCCCAACGCACAACAACGTTCAGAGAGAGTACTCCGTCCTGTGGTACGGTTTCCGGGCATGTGGTGAGATCGAAACGGACAGGAATTGCTGGTCGAGTGGTGCAGGGTTTGGGGCGGTCGTTGATCTGACTCGATATTGGCTACGCTGCCACACCACCGTCTACGACTGGAGGATTTTCCGATCTGAATCTCGCCCCGAACAAGCGTCATCTTCACATGCACGGACGAACGCCGGTTTGTGCCAGACGTATCCGTAGGCGTAGGCTCGACATCTGGGGGAGTGACTGGCGGGCGGTGGCTGCACCACCTTCAAGAACGAGGCCAATCGCTGGTCTGCGTGTTGCATGTTTGCTACGAGACAAGACGTCAGAGAGCACAAGTATGACCGCGGGAGGCACAACGGGAGCGGCAGGACGCCTGGTGCAGCTCGGGCGGCAAATCAGCTTCGACTTACATGGTGGTGTCTTGAATACTGCCAGCCCGTGGGCCGTAGGTCTGAAGGACCGGCACGACTGGTACCACAGCAGTGACAGCATAGGCTGTCTTGCGCAAGATATGTCCAACTCTGGCCTCCGATGGAAACGGAGATTAGGTACGGTTTCGTGTCCTATGTCAAGCTATCGAGGCCATTCGGGACCGACTGATGGACCTGGTATTTTGCTGCTGATGTTGATGATCAACCATATTGGCATTGCCGGAGTCTGGCTCTGACCTGGCTCTCGAGCTCTAGAGTCCAGCAGACTGGCTCGAAGGGCGGTGAGGTTGGAGCATGGCCAGAGTGGACCACAGGTAAGGTAAGGGTGCATTAGCATGAGCCAGGCGGTGGTGAGGAGGCAAGCCGCGAGGCATGGAGCGAAGAGAGACGGTTCTAGGTGGAGAGAAGTATCGGTACTCCTAACCCCGTCGAGGTATGTCGGTGCCGAAAGGTACGAGTACCTGACAAGAGCTCCAGAGGGCAAAGAGACAGCGTACCTGTCTTGCCTATCTCGCGTTGCAATGGAGCGGTCCATGTGTTGCCCTGCCAGGCATGAATTTGCCTCCCAGTAGGGGTAGAGCTGGAACATGACCCAGATGCAAACAGTGGCAACGACGGAGACGTCGAGAGGATCCAGACTGATGCAAATACCGTCGCGTGTCGATAGCGGATAGAATACGTCGAAATGCCGCCCCAATTGCTACAGGCTCATGTCGACCTAAGCGTCAAGTCAGGAGGGAATAAGGGCGAAATTCAGCACGGTCAAGACCCAAGTTGCAGCTTGCCTTGCCTCGAGTCTGTGCGGTAAATGCAGCATTGCAGCGCCAGCGAGGAACGGTCAGTGAAAGGCAGACGAAGTGGCATTTGCTTCAGGTACCTCACTGCAAGCTGCGTCTGATGCAGGTGGACTGCGTAGGTTGGGTGGAAAGGTTACTGCTACAAGAAGTTCTGCCAAAGTTAGGGCTCAACGTGGGGGAGAAGCGATCTTGGTAGATGTAGATGTACAACAAAACACGGCTGATGCATTCCCAACTTCTCAACTTCCATTCCTTCCTTTTCGCCTTACACTAGACCCAGGTACGTACCAAACCAAGACCCTTAGACCGCCGACTTCGTCCCACAAAATCTTTTTCAGCCGATCTTTTTCCTTCCCTCTCTGGTGCGAAAAAAAAGGTGTGCCTTCTCCAAAAAGTTCTGGGCAAGCCGCAAATTCCTCGTTCATTTTTGGTGTCTCCAAAGCTACCATATTGACATATCCATCAGAAAACGGTAGGCCGGGTTTTGGCTTGTGAGTGTCGTTGCTGCTGCTGCCTGCAGAGAGGTAAGCATCTCCCGTTATTAATAACAGCCGAGGAAAAGGCCACCAGACCACAGATCATTCACGGAAGTACAGAGCAAGGCGAGGTACAACCTGTGTAGCTACCCTTGGTACGGAGTACATTACCTCAATAAGGTATTCAATGGCATTTGACATGACCAAAGCCCGTGTTTAAATGTCTGAACGCCGTCTGGAAAACCTATGCCCCTCTTGCCTTCCGAAGGTAGTTACCTTATAGACCAGCCTGCAATACCTTCCTCAACTAACTGGAAGGTACGGATACTCCGTATAGGAAGGATGGAAGAAATTGGTTTAGATGCTTGACCAGGCGCAGCTTCCAGCTTCGGTATTTCCTCCCGTCCGGCCTCTTATGAGATTCGGAAAGGCTACCTTACCTGAGCACGTGAGTGAAGGTACTCCGTACTTGCATGGTAGCAGCATTAGCAGCCCACGGAAAGAAGGAGGTGGGGAGGAAAGATACCTCTTAACACATGTTAATTGGTGCAACAATCTTGTACCTCGCCTAAGAATGTACGGATACTTGACTTTCTTGCCTCCTCCTCCACATCGTCGTCCTTTGGTGGGTAACTCAATCAACATCGAGGCCCAGCAGAAAAATCCAACAGCAATTGGAAAGGATAGAAACCGACCACCACACGGCACGACTTGACACGACACATTTCATGCTTTCACACCCCCGGTGCCCCATTGCCTCCCCTCCCCTGCCACGCATTTCGTCCCTCCCGTCCCTGGTCCTGCTCTCTCTCCCCTTGCACCGTGCCCTGCAAACCCCCGCAGGCCACAAGCAACGGAGCTGCCTCTCTTCCTCTCTCCAGTTTGTCCCCAACAAAAACGGAACCGAGGGACAGAGACAGACAGACAGACAGCACACCACACAGCACACAGCGCAGCACACATTCGGCCACCACCACTATTACTGGAGGTGTAAGGTACCAAGCAGCAAGAAGCACGCAGATACCTAGTCCACCTCAGTTTATATACAGATACCTGCACACCACTCCTCCGAAAAGTCACAGGGATCACAGGGATCTCCTTACGCTCCATCCGTTACGGTACCTGACCGGCCACTTGTTACTACTCGGTACTAGCGAGCCAAGGCCCTGGAGAGACACAGTTGACAACGGGTCCCGTCCCGACCCATCGTTTGCTAACTATTTTGTCTTTTCGCCTCCGCCACGACCCGATACCGACCTGAGGTTTTTCCCAGAGTGCTTCATTTATTACTCCCCTCCCTTCCTCCTTTTCCCGCCTGTGTTTCTTGTTCCCTCCCCGCGACCCAATTGGTATCCCTCTCTCTTCTCCCAAGGGCCATTGGAACTTGTCAACCGTTCCTCTGAGTGTATTCATCCAATACCGAGGCAACATCACCAAGCTGCTCTCAAACCTCCTCCTCTTCCTAGAAGCAGCACAGTAATACCAGCCGCCATGGCTTCCACCACTTCGTCTGCGCCGGCTGGCCAGAACCCCGTTCTCCGCCGCACCGTTACCAGCAACACCGTCGAGACTGACGCTTCGGTTCCTTCGACTGCCATGGCTTCGCCCGTGGACTCGCCCCGTCCTTCTGCTTCCTCGACGTCCTTGTCGTCTTTGGCTTCTGACGATGCCGTCCTCCAAAAGAAGGCCAACTACACCAAGCTGTACGACACCTACGGCAACGAGTTCACCCCTCCCGACTTCACCATCAAGGACATCCACAACGCTATCCCCAAGCACTGCTTCGAGCGTTCTGCCCTCAAGGGATACGCCTACATCGCCCGCGATATCCTCTGCCTCACCACCACCTTCTTGATCTTCCACAACTTCGCTACCCCCGAGTACGTGCCTTCCAAGGCTGCTCGTGTTGTTCTCTGGGCCGTCTACACCATCCTCCAGGGTCTCTTCGGTACCGGTCTTTGGGTCATTGCCCACGAGTGCGGTCACCAAGCCTTTTCGCCCTCCAAGACCATCAACCACGCCACCGGCTGGGTTCTTCACTCGGCTCTCCTCGTCCCCTACTTCAGCTGGCAGATTTCCCACAGCAAGCATCACAAGGCCACTGGCCACATGGAGCGTGACATGGTTTTCGTGCCCCGCACTCGCGAGCAGCAGGCCACTCGCGCCGGCCGCTTGGCCCACGAAGTCGGCGAGCTGGCTGAGGAGACTCCCATCTACACCCTCCTGATGCTCATCGCCCAGCAGCTCGTTGGCTGGCCCAACTACCTCATGACCAACGTCACCGGCCACGACTTCCACGAGCGCCAACGTGAGGGCCGCGGCAAGGGCAAGCACAACGGTTCCGGCGGTGGTGTCAATCACTTCGACCCCAAGAGTCCGATCTTCGAGGCCAAGGACGCCAAGCTCATTGTCATGTCTGACATTGGTGTCGGCATCACCATGACCGTCCTTACCCTCCTCGGTAACAAGTTCGGCTGGTCCAACCTCCTGGTTTGGTACTTCATTCCCTACCTCTGGGTTAACCACTGGCTCGGTAAGCGCAAAATGCCTCGCTTTGACTCCTGACTGCCAACTGACAAATTTTCAAGTTGCCATTACCTTCCTTCAGCACACCGACCCTACCCTTCCTCACTACACCGCCGGTGAGTGGAACTTCGTTCGCGGCGCCGCTGCCACTATCGATCGCGAGATGGGCTTCATCGGACGCCACCTCCTCCACGGTATCATCGAGACCCACGTCCTTCACCACTACATCAGCACCATTCCCTTCTACAACGCCGACGAGGCTTCCGACGCCATCAAGCCTGTCATGGGCAAGCACTACCGTGCTGATGTCAAGGATGGCCCGGTTGGCTTCATCAAGGCCTTGTACAAGTCTGCGCGTATGTGCCAGTGGGTTGAGCCTAGTGCTGAGGCCCAGGGTGAGGGCAAGGGTGTCTTGTTCTTCCGCAACCACAACGGTATCGGTACTGCTCCTATCAAGGGTGCGGTGAACTAAGTCACAGCGTTGAGCGACTGAACGAAAAAGAAAAAGGGTCGTGTCATCTCATGAGCCGGTCCACGATGACCCTCTCTGCATGTGCTAGTGTAGGACTACGGCAATTCGTACCGCCGAGTTCTTTGGGCTCTGGGCCTGGCCGTCAAGTCTCGTTAATGTGCGATCTTTCGAGGACGCCGTGGTAATGTAGAGTCGAGCGCGGAAGCCCAGGAAGACCTGGAGACGGTACAGAAGCTATAGTGCAAAAAACTGGCAAGGCGTTAGCATTTTTATACCAGTACCGAATGGATAGATCCATAGACACAGAAGTCAAAGAGAGAGAGAAAGAGAGAGAGAGAGAGAGAGAGAGAGAGAGAGAGAGAGAGAGAGAGAGAGAGAGAGAGAGAGAGAGATCAATAGAATGATAGCTTCCGAGCATTCCAATCACACCGCCATGACTGATAGCCATTTCCTGTGTGATGAATATGACAGCTGCTTTCATTGCCAGGCACCTGAAGAAATTACCAGCCTGTGATCCTTCACCCATGAGCGGACGTTGCCCACAAACCCCAGGTAACGGGAGTCTGCCTACGAGGTGATGATATATCTGGGAAATGGCCAGCTGAAGAATCCGCAAGGTTAGATTCAATTCATCCTGATCGTGGAGAGAATGCGGGGTGCGCACGCGACCTTGCGGACGCCGGAACGCCCTCGAACCCTGATGAGCCAATGATTGATCATCCGATGGTAAAAAGACAGACCTGGGGGTCCTAGGCGGGAAGGAGCTTGTGCTTCTTGTGGCTTGGGGGGGAATAATGGACCGTGAGCAGGTACGGAGTAAGGTACGTGGTAGCGGTAACGGCGGTACTGGGTGTTAGTGGCCAGGCCTACGTTTTATGGGGTTCTGCTAACCGAGATGACATTGCTTCTGCCGTACCGACCGCTCCGGGTTGCGCGGATCCGAAAGGGGGAAGAAAAGAGGGGACCGGAGTGCCGTTTAAGGATGAGGCCGGTGGTATGTAGGTGTTTGTTATCTTGACGTCTTGCTTCAATTGCAACGTGTGTTAGGTGTTTGTCTTAGGATTGGCACCGGGCCATGGCTGAGAAGTGTAGAACGCACCGAATATGATGTGTCGTTGTGATCAGTCAAGTTACGAAGGCTTTTTTGGCTTTGTTTAAGGCAGCTTGAACCCTTTCGCCTTTGTGCTGGCATCAGGAGTATACTTCGGAACCGAGGTAGTGTTATCGATGCAGAGGGTTCCTCATGGCACGATGTAAGGCAGCAAAATATTCTCTAGCCCGGCCGATGTTGATCAACCTGAAGAGACGACATAGGTCCGTCCCTAGTAGGGTGAGTTCGTGCCATGTTAGAGTAGAGAATGTTTTGCAGCAGCAAGGCTTTGTTTGGTATGGAACATGATAAACGGGCATTTGTGGTCACTTGACTCCCGCTACTTTATGGACCTGACGGTCTGAGACCTAGAGTTCAATCAGACTAGAGTTGACTCTTAGGTATCATGTAATCACGATGTTCTTGTCTATGGGTTAAGTGTCCAGTGTCGAAGATGGGACTTGTTGTAGTCCTCCCCCGGCCTCAACTACTGCGGTGCGTGCAAATTCGCTGCGGAACTGCAAAATGCCTACATGCAAACCTACATCAACCCATTTGACAAACCCGCTGCCGTGATGTTGAGTCTCAAGAAGGCAGACGAGACCTGGGTGCACAAAAGAGCATTTGTCATTCATTGTGAACTTGAGAGGAGTACGGTTCTTTCTGCGAATTCTGCGAGATAAGTCAGTGCTGACGATATCTGAGTTGATTCAACGGGTAGCACTTACCATGTTGGTCGAGATCGAGACTCACTTATCTTGTAAAATTATCCACACGTCTGAAGGCTTTTGTAACTATTCGTCTTGATTTATCAAGCAAGTGGGCGAGCAAGTTTTTTCCTTGCAAGTTTCAGGTATGTGGAAGCAAGAATGGGAAGTCATGGGAAGGGGGGAGCTGCATCCTTGCTTCAGCAGGGAAAAGCTTCTCGTGGAAATGAGTCCCCGTCAGAAAACCTGACAGTTGATACTAATACTGAGAGAAGGGGAGACCTCCATTACGAAAACTGTCTGCAAAAAGCCTATCGAGATATTGTTCGAGCGTGGTGGTGCAGTTCTGAGGCTAGATGCTGTCGGGCGTCAACTAGAACGGGTAACACGGCATGGCATCAGATTCTAATAGATGCGACCGTGATAATAACAAGATATGAGACTAGTAAAGAATACTGCAAAGAGAAAAGTTCAACCTAGACTAGGGCTCGGTCGGACGTATACCTGATGGATTTGAAATGTGAAGAAGTGGTAGTTGCAGTAGATTTCTAACCATCATCTCGACGAAAACAACGAGTCACCTGGCTCTGGGTTCTGGACTCTGTGTGACTAGATCCGCTACTTTTCAGTCTAGCAAACATCTCAAGTGTCAACAGAGACTTCGTCATCTGGGTTCTCGACTCTGGTCTGCATGGTGTCTCAGTCACGGCAGTTGTAGGCGTGTACCGCGTGGACCTCAAGAGGAGACTTTTTTCCGTCCTCAACGATACTCGTGGTCCTTTTGCGTGTGCCTAGCTCGAGGAGCGCCGTGAACGTGGGCGACGCGTGAAGATATTTGATGGATGCGGAAAGTGAGTACGTCTTGGGACAGCAAATCGTTTTTTAAAGTAACGGGCCTACTCTAGAGAGAAAAACGCCCGTCAGATGAATGGCAGTTCGGAGTAGATTCCGAATTTTCGAGGGTCCGGGTCTACATTCGACTCCCCTAGTCTATGGAACCATCAGAGTTTTTCCATCAGTGTTGGAGGGGACGAAGAAAGATGCGAACTGCATGCGGAAATCGAAGAAAGCCATGCTCACAACCCTCATGGCAGCAGAGAAAGAGGATGCCATTCGGAGAAGGCGTTTTCTCACGAGGGACTAACGTGGCCCGCACAAGGCGGGCCCGGGTCTCGACCGTCCATTTTCTGACAGCGCTGTGGCGAGAAGACCCATGGTTATTTGGTAGTAGTCGAGCGAGATAGTCGTAGACCAACAGAAGGGAGCGGCAGACGGATGGTGCGGGCGGTGGGATCAATGACAGCACCGAGACATTGGGGCCGGCGGGCTTCCAGTCTCGAGACCGTCGACTCTTAGGTCGGCCGCTTTTTCCGAAGAGGCAACGTCTCTCCGGGCCCTAGAGATTCGGTAGTTCTTTGGCGCCTTGTAGGGTTAACTTGACAGGGTGCTAGAGTCGACTACTCGACTGTAGTCGTTCACGATCCACGGTAATCGGAGCGGGATACCTAGTATGTCGGCCGTGATCTGAGACTATCCTCCCGTCCGCCCGGGCATCAGCCGATGTGACTTAGATTGAAGCCGACATCCTGTCACTGAGAGCCGGCGAGAGGTGAAGGCTGCGGGATACATGGGCGCGGGAACTATTAGCCCAGCCATGAAGGATGATGGGGTAGGTAGGTAGGTAAGCAGGGGACCGATCCCAGAAGAGCTAGAGTTAGCCAGTCCGAACACGGCGAATTCGTCTGAGACACCCTGACCTCGACGTTTCCTATGCTTACAGAGGCCCTTTCAGAACAATGTGATTTGCCTCGTCGTCACATTCAGCTGGTTGGCTAGGGCCCGCGTAGACCATGCCCAGGCCACGTTTTCGAGACACGTTATTCTCGACGTTTGCGAAGAAGTTCTCGCGTGACGGGTTACCTAGAGTTGACGAACAGACGTATGCTTGGAACTATGTCATGATGGAATGCCATATTGGATTAGATGAGGAAAAGGGGATGAGAAGTGAGTCGACGGTTTGCAACATGTTTGATAGGTGGTATAACGAGGAAACAAGAAAATATCGATATGTGTGTGACTTGACTAATTTCCCGCACGTCCTAACCAATCGTGACATCGATCGTCTCACTCTCGAATTCACCCGTCAAGACCCCTTCGCCAAACTGCAACTTCTCAAGCGTCGCCTGGCTAAGCCTGTCCGCCGTCACGGGCCAAACAACCTGCCACTTGCCCTTGACAGCCACCCGTGCCGTCTTGCCGAGCGTATCGAGCGCCACGATGGGCTCCTTGAGGACCACCTCCTGGTCCTTGCTCTCACCGGGCTGGAGGGTGACGAGGTCCTCCGGGCGCGGCGGCATGACCCGGCGCAGCTGAACAGTGTGCACCTCGATCGGTTCGCTCTTGCCCTCGGGCGTGATGGAGACGAGGCCGACCTGGATGGCGAGGGGGTCGAGGGGCGTGTTCCAGCGGAGGATGGTCAGCGGGTCGTCGTGCTTGTTTTCCACGGAGAAGGTCAGGGTGGGAGGTGTTGTCGACGTCTGACGGATGCGGAGGGCGAGCTTGGATAGCGCGCCGGCGTGCTGGTTCTCTTGCGCCATGGTGTCTCGGGAGGAACCGCTGCGATTCCAGGTCGAGAGGATGAAGATGAGGGCTACGATGAGGACGATGGGCCGAAAGAGCGAGCGGGCTTGGTAGTTGCTCATCGATCTTGGCGGTTTGTTGGAGATGGCGTAGAATATGGCGGCGGTAAGATGGCGGTAGGTGAGGGCGTGAGTGAGTATCGTGGGAGTTCCTTGCAAGCTCTTTTGCTCTCGAAATTGTGTTATGTGGGATTGAGAAACGAGGTTATGAAGGCAGGCCGAGTGGACGCGGTCAGCGGGATGTGCCTGAAGCGGAACAGCTTCCTAAGGCGGGCAAGTGGCGTGGAAGATGCCGGGTGACGTCAAATCGATCAAATGCGGCCGCCTACCGGTGCCGCTGGAGAATGCCTTTTGTTGTTTGAATGTGTGGTAAGAAAAAAAAGGCAACGTGGGTGAGTGGAATGAGTTGTCGCGAGAACGCGCGCACTAAGCTTGAAATAGGAGGAGAAGTCGTCTGCCGGGGAATGCCCAGCGGCTTTAGCCACGCGAGTTTGGTTCCGTTCCTTTGGGACGGACCAAATACCACGTTTGCCACCGTCCATGACTTGAAGCTACGGATACCATGGCCTTCTTGCGATGGTGTCAGCGGCGTAGTTGAAGTTCTACGGGAGAGTTCCGATGTAGACGGCAATGCGATTCGTGGTGGACCAAGCTCCCATCTAGAGAACCCGGCAGATCGGGTTTGCGCTTCTATCCGCGACGGAGGCTACCCTATCGCCAACTAAACTTGCCTACTTGCGATGAACCAGATGACAGATTCGGTCGGACGGCGGGAGACCCCGCACTCTGCAGGGTATCGAAGAAAGATGCGCCTTGCCATCCCCTGCTCTCCCACCCCTTGGAAACTACCTACCTAAACTCTGAATCGGTTAAGCTGGCGGCACGACTTCAGACGACGCTACAATGGCATGATGGAGACGTGATTCTTCAGCTTCAGGCTTGGTGCAGGAAAACTTCGCGCGCTGGTCTACGGACGAAAAAGGAAGGTCGCCAAATTGCTGCATGTAAGCAACGACACGGACACCGGCGCCGATGACCCACAGTTTCGGTAGACCCACTCCGACCGGTAGTTGCCCGCGCGACCACCGGTCCATGAGTCGAGGCCCTTCGGTGATGTTTCCGTTCTACTACCGACGTCATATCGAACGAGAACAACGTGAAGACCGTTTCTAGACTCCAATCCATCACAGCGTGTCTCACTTGGTTTGCCGGCAACTCGGGACACCACTTCGATTGATACAACTAGGTAGTAACCAACCCAAGCTGCCCCTCCGGGCACGGAGAATCCCTGTCTTACTCGTCAGCCAGCCCGTGTCTCGCAACTACCTAGGGTAAGCTTTGGTGACATGTCTCACTGCTTGTCTCTAGCAGACATACAGCAAGGCGCGGTGCGGTTAGCATATACAGAAGAGGCTACGGCTCCCCGGGCTCTTTGCACGGCTCTTTATCCCCACGATCCCGGATGACGTTTGCGGACGGTGGATCCGCTGGGTCTTGACAGAGCCCCATGGAGTCCGCTCCGACCGTAGGACTGTATCTGTAAGAAAACCTTTCATCCAAGGGGCCACGGCAGTTGAAGACTCGTGGTCCTCGTGGAGACTTGCTGATCACTAGTTGATCGGCAAGAGTTGGTCTCTGCATGATCGTTAGGTCTCCCGGCATAATCAACGTGCGATTCGTTACATACAGCCAAAGAAGCCGGAGGACGACATAGGACACACGTCTAGTGGCGCCTGATGTCTCGTCTCCTCTCTCAATGAAGTTTCCGCATCTGCTCTTCGTGGCTTACACCACCCAGGCTGACCCGTCGAGTTGGAACCCGTCGTTTTCTCTGCTAGACCACTTGAGCCTTACGCCTTTACCGATTCTAGGCACTGCGCAAATTCTCTTGGTGGAAGTACGCAGCCGCTCTCCAATTTCACACTCCTTTGGAGGTATCGTACACATACGCCCCCCTTGTGAGGGTTCTCCTGTTGATCACAAGTAAGATGTGTTGTCAATTCTTTGGCGCCGACAATGGGCAGAAGCGCCTCCCGCCCCATGGACTCTTCTTAGCCATCGGACCATCCTTTGGAGCCTCCAAGCTCTCCCAGACTGCGATTTCGCATGGCTTGAGCCCACGGCCGCTCTGCTCCCTAAACCGGATCAGGGAGCCAGCCCAGGTTTCATGTCCCCTCGAGTGGCATCGTGGGCTGAACGGTGAGATCCGTTTGAAGCTGTTCACTTCTGTATAAAGACAAACTGGATTCCTTCCACCTCATGGCTTTTTGTTTTTGGATCATCACACTCAACTCCAAACAGCCCTCTCTCAACTCCTCAACTCTTCACCTCCGACAACCCGAGACATTCTCCGCCTTCGCAAAGTCAAGATGAAGTTCTCCGCTGGTCTCACTATCCTGGCCTCCCTCGTGAGCGCCTCTCCCATCGAGCTCGCCAAGAGGGCCGACGCGACTCCGCTCACAGCCAACATTACCAAGAACGGCAACACGGGAGTCATTATCACCGTGACGAATAATAGCGAGGACGATATCAAGATCTTCACTCCCGGCACCGTTTTGGACACAGCCGCCGTTGAGAAAGTCGCCGTCTTCGATGGAGGTAAGTACCGCTCTCTCTCAAATCACTTTCAACATCACAATGCTAAGTCATCCTACAAAGACAACAACCGCCTCCCCTTCGAAGGCGTCCGCCTACGCATGGCACCCCAAAACCTCCTCACCGACGCCTCCTTCAGAACGATCAAGGCCGGCAAAACAATCACATCCGCAGTCGACTTCGCCGAGCTCCACGACCTAGGCAGCGCCGACTCCTTCAAAGTCATGGTCAACGGCGGCATCCCCTACGCACAAGCCGGCTCCACCACCATCGCAGGCATCTTCAGCATTGCCAGCAACACGCTCAACATCAACAACGTCAACGTCACAAAGGCCGCCCTCACCCGCACCTCGTACAAGCAGATGATCAAGCGCACAATTGTCCAGTCAGACTGCAAGGGCACCCAGAACAACACCGTCACCGCCGCCCTCATCAGCTGCCAGAAGCTCGCGCGCGCCGCGGCCGACTACGTCTCTAAGAACGACAAGCGCTTGAATGAGTACTTCAAGTCGACGACCGCTGCTAGCAAGAAGATCATCGTCGATACCTTTAACAAGGTTGCTTCCGAGTGCAGCACCCGGAACAAGGGCGTCTCCAAGCAGTACTGCAGCGACGTCTACAAGTCTTGCTCGCCTGGTGTCTTGGCTTACACCGTCCCGGCTTATAAGTACATGGTCAACTGCCCCTTGTACTTCACTGCGCTTCCTCTGCTCACCACTGGTTGCCACAACCAGGATCAGTCGACAACCACTCTGGTAAGTGACAAACTTATCTCAAGGATTGTCGAGCTTGGGCTAACCACTGTGATTGTTTAGCACGAGATGACGCACTTGCTCGAAGTCAAGGGAACATTGGACTATGGCATCTACGGCTACACTGCACTGAAGACTCTCACGAGCGCCCAGAACCTCAACCACGCAGACACCTATGCGGTCTACGCCAATGGTAAGTCGATCACCACGCTCAAAACTACATTGAAGAAGCCATGGCTAACAATGAGACTTCCAGCTGTCAACCAGGGCAAGACTTGCTAGTCGCATCACGGAGTTGAGAGTTTTCGTACATATCCACCACAAAGACTACCGCCAGTTCTTCTGTGCATATTCAACGGGACCGACTACGCTAGGAGTTTATACTGCTCCATTGTATGGGCGCCGGTTCCTCTTTAATGATTAATTACTAGTACCAGGTTTTTGCATCGGGAATTAGAGGGCATTTGGATCTGCCATTTTCAACACTTTCCATAGAAACGAAATCACGATTCAATATCTTTGACAAGTCCCCGTTCATATTGATGGATGATTCTAATGTGACGAGGATCATTGAGACCATCGAAAGACTTTAACCACCCGAGGATATCTCTAATCGAAGCAGAAGAGCTAATCATGGTGGTTGTTTGCTCAAGAGCCTCTTATAGCAATGCAAGATAGGTTGGTTCGACGAAGCATCGTAGATCGGAAGGCTCAGATACAACACACCCTTCATATCCTTCAACTTACCAGCGACTCTTGACATATACGATATTGATCAATCATTCAACAGGTATTTGAAGAAGACCAGGAAGATTGAAGCGACAAGAAGGACGCCCTTTACATGTCTGAGTTTCTTCGTCAATTGCCTTTTGTGTAAACCGCTCCGTTGGGGAAGGGAACAAGCAGAGACAGGTCTTTACAAGAGACATCTAAGCCCGGTATATACTTGTGTGTTGGAAAAAACGTGACTGACCATGGTCTCATTTGGTAACTCGCTGTGTTGCATTCCAAAGTCCAAACGTCCAACCAACGACGAGTCTGACACACAGCCCTTGGCCCCCGTACCCGTTGGAACCGAGACCGTTAGCGACCAAGGGCGGAGGCCCATTTGATTTTGGGGGTTGGGGGCACTCGGACGCAGCAAGTTCGACAGGGCAGAGACTGTGACGTGCAGAAGGACCCGATGCTCGCCTGTCGAAGAAGCTTTGGAAGCTTGCGCCTTTTCGTCAGCTGCAGTTTTACAAATTCCCACCGAGGGGCCGGCTCTCCTGGATGCTCCGGGCGGGTTGGGCATACGCGCAGTCCCCGGGCGCTAACGGCAAGGCGCAGCACGGGAGATGCGGCCTTGACATTTGTTGGAAGATGGCTTCTTCAAGAATGAGATGAAGTCCCGGTTTTTGCTTCACAATCTTGAATATCAAAGGCGGGCCCGGCCATGGGGTCCAAGAGGGCGAAGCTCAATAATTCACTCGATAATTTCACATGTGGTTGAAAAGTTGGAAAGGAGCTCGGAGTCCGGGCTGGAAACTCGCAAAGACTCGAAATAACATCGTATCAATCCCGACCCGCTGGGACATTGGACCGGGGGTCGCCGGAGCCAGCCGTTGGCCTGAACCTGAGATCCAAATCACACAATATTGAGCCCCACTCGGTGGGATCGTCGACAGTTTGTTCGCACTCGGGCTCAAAAGCGGGTACCGGCAATCGAACCTTGGAAAGACTCCTCACAGTCTCGCACTTCGAACCCAGATATCCGTAAGTGGATGTTGCGAGATGCGTATGCATTCATCAATGAGATTCGGGTGCCACTACTGTTTGCGCTGCTCGTCTTGGATGCGTAAAATATCATAAAAGCAAGATAGCGGAGTAGAAACAGAGACTGCAGGCTTGAGGCTGTCGTCGTGGGGGTCTTTTGATACGTGCTAGTCCTGCAGGACGAAAAGCATGTCGAGTCGTGGGCTGCATTTTGTGCGTGCTTTATTACTGCTTTATTACACGCGCGGGCGTCAGAGCCTCGAAAGTCGAGGGGGAAGAAGCAAGGTTTGCTGGAATGTTCCGTGAGCCTGTTAGGTGTGTTTGGTACAATTTCTATTGCTGTGCAGTAGGTATTATTGCGGCGGACCGAGGGCGCAGGGCACCCGCGTAGAGTTTTGGGCCGTTCGGACTGGCAAAAGTGTAAAGCTTGCGAAGAAATCACCGAAGCAATGGATATGGGACGAGCTCGCGTTGCAGGTCGGCACGTTGCGAAGGGAGACAGTCGCAGTGGGAAGAAGGGCCAAGACGAAAGGGATGGCGGGATGTCTGGGATGTCGCGTCTTGTCACTTGTCAAGTTCCAGATGGAGGAAAGATTCCGTACGAAGGCGAAGGCTGAGGGGGTTGATCGACCGTAAGAAGATTTCGTCGGCTGAAAGGCGAAGGGTACGACAGTTCTTCTCGAGAGTCGAGACCAAACAAACATCGGCGGAAAGTGGTTACACATGTGCTAGCCATCAAGACTCGACAGTCCATCCTGCCAGTCTCTAGATCCATATTCGTACGCCGTGCAGAATACCCTGAGGATAGCAGTTTGTTTGTTTGTTTGCGTATTCGTGAGAAGTACTCCGTACGTGCTTGTCGTGACTTGGGTGCTTGGGAGTGGCGAGTTACGTAGTGGGGTACATAGGATGACAACCTTGCTCCAGTTGTCTTCCATGTGCCGACAGGAGAATGTCTTGTGCGTGTGTCTTGCAAAAAGGTACGAATGTTGCAGTTCTGGGGCGATGCCGACACAGTGTGATAGGGCCGGGTCGGCTATTCTCCCGTGGCACACCTCGCCAGAGGCCCAGAGCGTGGGTGCTTGGTGCTTGCTTCCCGCACCTCCATCCGGTCCTCTTTTGCCAACCAGTGACGACGAAGCTGCAGGAACAGCCGGCATCGAATGACGACGATCAGGTAGCGGCGGTGCTAAAGAGAAGCATCCCTTGAGGACACTGTGTCTGATACACCTGATCTGCTGGATCAGCGATGCCGTCAACCAAGAACCCAAGATGAGCTTCCCACGATCCGCATCGACAGACTCGGCGAGTAATCCGTTGCTCGACGGGCTTGAGGGCGCCATGTTCTCTGCAAGACACTGAAGACGATCGATCACCAGTGACGAGACCACCGTGTAGACCGAGCCTTGAAGCATTGCGTGGTGCGTGGTGCGTGGTGCGTAGTGAGTGTGTGTACATATCCGTACGGAGTACCAGGTATTGGTATGCAGCACAGTGGACAGCAACAGCTAGCTCCCGGGTGGTCGAGGGTCGAGGTCGCAGTCCAGTCGGGTCTTGTGGATCGTCGTCTTCAAGAACGCAGGTCCAGCCACATTCGTAGCCCGTCACAGAAGTTCCCCGGTGGTGGTGGAGGAGGACTCGATGGCACCGCGCATATCCATCCCTCCTTGGTGAAGTGTTGGAAAACAGTTGTGCACTGTGCTGAGCTGACCTCATCCCTTTGCAGCGTGCGGGCAAAACCTTGTAACAGAAAGCCTGGCAACTGCAGGATTGCGACACCGGCCACTAGGCAACTCGGGTCAAGACTTGGAGGCTACTCGGTAGAGCCATGTCGATTCGGACTGGGCGAGCGGCTACTGCTAGGGGGGCTGGCACAAGGGTTCGGGACGCGGAGCCCTAACGAGGACCCTGAATTCTCTCTGTTGGAATATCGGGAGGTTATGGTGACATTGGTGGTATTGGTGACTGATGAATGTAGTTGAAGGTAGCACAAAGCAGATGGGGCTTGTTGGACGAACCTGTTCACCAAATCAGTGTTCCGCTTTTCGACAGGTTGTTATGGAGTTTGGCAGATCATGCTGTTTGGGTTAGGAAACTTGGGAAACCCCCGCGATTTCAGTTTGCCACGGTTTGAGGCTTCCAAGGGCTGGTCTTCTTGCACTAAGGTAGTCTTGAGCGTGAGAGAGAGAGTCGACGGTGAAGCAGTGGGAGGAGAAGATGTCGGGTGGATGTGGAGGGACGCCGTAAAGAGCGTGGTGCCGGTGGTGCAGGTGCGCCTCTAGGACGCTCCTTCTCCTCCCTTTTGAAACTGGGGGAAAAGTTGCGAGCTCTGAGTGGCCGAGGTGTGGCAATGGATGGGGCTCGCTCGACGGGTTTGGCGGGGCTGGACAGTGTACCTTTTCGATGTAGTGTATATGTACTGTATACATGCCTACCTAGGCATCCTCTTCGAGTCTTCAGTGGTTTGTCTGCCCGATGCTGTGCGCTGCCCGTGGTTTTTCCTCTCTCATCTCCTGGCCCCCTTTCGGTCAAAGGTAATCCCAGTCAGCCCACTGCCCCGGTCGTACGACGCCCACAAACTGCCTCTTCTACGCACTGTGTACTTACAGCCCCCCCAAGAGCTTCCCTTGCCTTCCACAGCCCTCCCGCTGCCCGCCTGCCGCCAGTTCAAAGTGTTCGACCGGGACATTCTGACTCTTCATTCACTAAGGTGGCATGGGCGGGCGGACTGTAGGCACTGGGCTGGCTGACAGAGACCCCAACTTCCCTCCTCTTGCAAGGACGGGGGACTCCAACTCTCGACGGAAGACTCGAGGTGACTTCCATGCTTGGTTTACCCCCGGTGCGTGTGCGTGTATCTGTGCTTCACACCCCCATCCACCCCCCCCAAAGAAAACCCAAGCTGACAGGGTCAAAAAAGAAGAGAAGGAGAGAAAGAGCATTCAAACCATTTGCACCTGCTCCCTCTTTCCCGAACGAACCACCACTCCTTCTCTCCATCTCCAACTTCCATCTTCATCTTCATCCTCACTTCCGTCAACGATTCCTCCCATCCATCAACAGTCATCCTGTTGATACTTCAGACGCATCCACAGCTGCATCCACACTTGCTGTGCACCTACTCTTTCGTCGTTGTGGGCTCCGATTTACTTCGCTAGCCCAACCCACATTCACATGGTCCTCTGCCGCCGTCGGACCATCAACACCACAACCTCGAACGCGACCTTTCCGACGCCCACAGCTGCTCCTATGTCTCGCCTGCACTTTGAACAACACTGGGAAGCGTTGATGTAAATCCCTTCCGCCATAACAACACAACTACCATGCTGCGACGGCCTCCAGGCGAAGGGAGGCGCGTTGCTCGTCAGCGAACCTACCTGCTCGCTCTCGCTGTTCTCGCCATCTCATGCCTCCCCCTCGCCGATGCTCAGCAACAGCAAAAACCCATCGAGCCCGTAGCCCAAATACATAGAATTCAACAACACCAACCCGCTGCCGGAAGCAGTCAACACGAAGCCGTTCGTGATGTACTCCCCGACCAGGCCGCCCGCAACTGGGCCGCCACCAACATCAAGGCCGACAATGCTGTCGAGTCTCCGAGGCGCCGAAACTCCGTAACCTCGAAGCAACCACAATCCCAACCCAACAAACAACAACACGAGCGTCGGTCCAACCCCGACAACATATATATTCCTAACGATGCGAGCGCCATCGCAACTTTGGCTCCGGCTCAGTCCGTGCGAGCACCTCCTTCTGGACATCGACCCATTGCCTCCCGCGTCGGAGGTGGTGGGATCTCTACGCAGCACCATGCGCGGAGTCTGAAGGACTGGGAAGTAGAAGACTTCGTTCTTATGGCGACCGTCGATGGACACCTCTATGCCAGTGACCGCAACCACGCCACTGAACGCTGGCATCTCGAGGTCGATCAGTCAATGGTCGAGACAAAACATTACCGTCTCAACGCGTCCGACCTGGACGATGACTACAACCACATCGACCACTACATCTGGGCCATCGAGCCCAATCGCGATGGAGACATTTATTACTGGTCTCCAGCTGGCTCCACCGAGCCCAGACTACTATCTACCGGCTTGACCATGAAGCAGATGGTCGACGAAGGCGCCTCGGCCCTCGACAACCCCCCAATCGTCTATACTGGTACCAAGAAGACCACCATGATCACACTTGATGCCGCCACCGGCCGTGTGCTCAAGTGGTTCGGCTCCGGTGGCTCCCACGTCAACGAGGCAGAGAGCTGCTTGCGCCCGAATGCTCTATACGACCAGAACAACGAGGAGTGTAGCTCGACCGGGACAATCACTCTAGGCCGCACCGAGTACGAGGTCGGCATAGCTCGCAGAGATGGCCGACCCATCGCTACACTCAAGTTCTTCGACTGGACCCCCAACACAAATGACTACGACCTCCTCAACCAACACCACAAATCCATCGACCAGCGTTACCATACCACCACACACGATGGCAAGATTTATGGCGTTGACTATGCCAATGCCCACAAGGACAAATTGCCCATTTTCTGTAACGCGCAGTTTGCTTCGCCTGTAGTCAAGGTTTTCGATGTCTGCCGGCCTGTGGGACTGGAACCATTGAGCAACCCTGATCTCATCGTTCTTCCTCAACCTGTCCCGCCAGCCAAGGATGACAGCAACGCTCGTATCCGAAGCCAACGCATCTTTGTCAACCAAACGGACATGGGCAACTGGTACGCCTTATCTGGGCGTTCCTATCCTCTCATCTTGGACGCTCCTGTAGCCAAGACTTCGTCGCCTGACTGGCTCCAGCTTGCCCAGCCATGGGGCAAGTTGAACGAGACGCAGAGAGTCGGAGCCATGGTCGGAACCCACTACATGGATGGTGTCACCAGGGGCCCGATCTACCAACCTCCCAGTCTACCTGGACGCTCAGAAGCGTCTGATGCAGTCGTGGACCCTGAAAGCCACCCAGCGCTGCCCACTACAGTGCCAGACGACGATCCTGTAGAAACGCCTACCATTGTCAAGAAAGTCAAGTCGATTCCGCACCACGTTTCCAACAGCGTCATCGACTTCTTCTCAAACCCTGTTTTGATCGTGCTCATCGTTTCTGTTCTATTTTATTACCAGAAGGATCTACGTCGCTGGTATAAGACCAAGACGACAAAGTGGTATATGCGAGATGAGGCTGCTTCCGACACAGAGGATATGGGTGCCGATGCTACTCCTGAGCATACGGTACATGACGAGATCCCTCTCCCCGCTCCTGAGCGGGCGGCTGCACCTCTGGTACCAGAAGAGCCTGTTGCCGACAAGAAGCCCGTGCCCGAGAGTCTGGTCCCCTCAATTGAGCCCGCCGCTGAGAAAGAGAAGGACGGCGCTAAGACACCTATCGCGGAGTCTGCTGCAGTTGTGGAGAAGCAGACTTCTGCCACTCCTCCTGAGCCCGGTACCCCTGAGGTCAAAAAGAAGAAGCCTGCTCACCGCGGTCGCCGCGGGGGCACAAAGCACCGAAAGGGGAAGAAGAGAGAGGAGATGTCGCAGTCTCGCGACGACGAGCCGCCTGCTTCCGTCGAGGAAGCCGTCAATAAGGCCAAGAAGCTGGGCGTACAGGCTACTGGTTTGGAACCCGATGTCATGACCATGACAAACGACATGCAGGCGGTTGGCGAATCGATTATCAAAATGGGCGGCATCGAAGTCGACACCGAGAATCAACTCGGCACAGGCAGCAATGGTACTCTGGTCTTTGCTGGTCGATTCGACGGGCGTGAAGTGGCTGTCAAGCGAATGCTTATCCAGTTCTATGACATTGCCTCCCAAGAGACAAAGTTGTTGCGAGAGAGTGACGACCATCCCAATGGTAAGGATAATAGTAGGCTGCTTTTGCGGAAAGGTCTAACAATCAATTCTAGTCATTCGATACTACGCCCAACAACAACGAGATGGATTCTTGTACATTGCTCTCGAGCGCTGTGCAGCCTCTCTAGCTGATGTCATTGAGAAGCCTCATCACTTCACCCGGTTGGCTCAAGCTGGCAAGATGGATTTGCCTGGTGTCTTGTACCAAATCACCAACGGTATCCACCATCTGCACAATCTTCGCATAGTCCATCGCGATCTTAAGCCTCAGAACATCTTGGTCAACATGGGCAAAGATGGACGACCGCGCCTTCTTGTATCCGATTTCGGTCTTTGCAAAAAGCTAGAGGGTGGTCAGTCCTCCTTCGGTGCCACCACTGGCCGCGCTGCGGGAACTTCTGGCTGGCGAGCGCCTGAATTGCTACTCGACGACGATGCTAGGGACACTGCCACCATGGAGTCCAGTATCCAGAGCGGGTCGGGATCTATCCTCGTTGGTTCCGACATGATGTCCAACCGTCGTGCCACTCGCTCCATTGATATCTTCAGCTTGGGCTTGGTGTTCTTCTACGTCTTGACAAATGGTTCCCATCCATTCGACTGTGGCGATCGTTACATGAGGGAGGTGAACATCCGCAAAGGCAACTATAACTTGGCCCCTCTGGATGCACTCGGCGACTTTGCCTACGAGGCGAAGCATCTCATCGGCTTGATGTTGGATGCGAATCCCAAGGAGCGTCCTTCAGCTCGCGATGTCATGGCTCATCCCTTCTTTTGGTCTGCCAAGAAGCGCCTTGCTTTCTTGTGCGATGTCTCGGATCACTTCGAGAAGGAGCCCAGAGACCCTCCTAGCGACCACCTTGCCCACTTGGAGCAGCATGCCCCGGCGATCACTAAGGGAGATTTCCTCCGCCTGCTTCCACGAGACTTTGTGGATTCTTTGGGCAAACAGCGCAAGTACACAGGGTCCAAGCTGCTTGACCTGCTGAGAGCTTTGCGCAATAAGAAGAACCATTACGAGGATATGCCCGATGCGTTGAAGCGGACAGTTGGGCCCTTGCCAGAAGGGTACCTGGCGTTCTGGACAGTAAAGTTTCCTAGACTGTTGCTGGATTGCTGGACCGTGGTGTGGACTGTGGAATGGGATAGTACTGATCGCTTCCGGGAGTACTACGAGCCGGCCGGTCTTTGAGGTGTTGGTACATACAAAAGTCAAATCATTTTGCCATGCTTTCAAACTTGCTCTGTTCAAACGTGACCTGATACGCCCCAGTGAAATCGTGAAAATTGTTGGAGAGCCTCATGGCACCCACTTGATAACCCATGTCAAGGCTGCCGTATTCGGGGAGTGTCCATGTCTGAACGAGTCGTCTTCATTCACATCAGATTCCCGCCCCTCGCAAAGGCACCGACAGGCAGGCACTGGACGAGACAAGGTGGCCTTGGGCAAGGTAAGTAGGTAGCGGTATTTAGGTAGCCAAGTCTATCCGGGCCCTCACTGATACAGACGATATACATTGTAAGGCAATGACCCGGAGTGCTAGGTTCACATTTACTCTATTTATTTGAAGACCTGTTTTTCTCTGGTCCATCTTACTCTGCTACAGCTCTTTTTCTTTATACCTCCTCCAAACCCCAGAGCCACGTATGGCCAATCAACTCCTTTTAGTGTTGAGCAATCTTCTACACACTGCGCGGCTTGATATACCGTGAAATAGTGTCGCCCATCATCCATCTCGCAACGCCTCGTATTTACCCATCTTCCTGGAGACCACTCTCAACCCCACTGGACAAGCACCTTCTTGCCCTTCTTCTTCTTACCACCGGTACTCTGACCAGCTTCCTCGTCTTCCCGCTCCGACACATTCTCGCTTGCGGCTCCACTTCCCGGGGCAGAACCCCAGCTGAAGTTGCTGGCAGCACCGCCGAGGTCGCGCCGTACACCTCGGCCTGTGCCGTAGCCAAAGATTGTGGTGAGGGGCTTCTGTGCCGGGGGCAACGCGGGGAAAGCAGACGATGGCGGAGGGCGACCGGCGGGCGTCGAGCGCACGGGTCCCGCGGGTCCCGCGGGTCCCGCGGGGCCTGATGATCTCGAGGCGGAGGGGTTGTTGGGCCCGATCCAGGATGGCTGGTGTGCCGAAGACTTGGACGACGACGAAGCCGCGGGAAGAGCAGGGAAAGCCGATGGTGCTGGAGGACGAGAGGACCCCGAGGTTGACACCCAGTTCGTTGAAGCAGCCTGGGTCACGGGCTTAGGTCCTGAGGCGCCGGCTCGGGTGCTGTTCTTCAGCCTCAACACGCGGTTCGAGTGCTTCTGGTTGGAGCTCGGTGCCGCAGCTGGCGCTGTGGGCGATGGCGAAGCCGCGCTGGCCCAGCCGCTCGAAGCCGTCGTCGCGCCGTGCATACCGCCCAAGCCAGGAAGAGACGGGTAGTCTTCGTTGATGGCTCTCCAGTCCTGCCACGCTTTGTGCAGGGCCGCGACCTTGCTCTTATCCTCGAACAGGTCGGCAACTTCGCGGACCAACGTGCCCAACGCGTTTGACGATGTGTCGGCGAAGAGCGAGAAGAAGGCATCCACCAGTTGAGGGGCGGTCAGCTTTCCTTTTCGGAAATTTGAAATGTACTCGCGGAACTCCTTCATCTTTGACTCATCGTGACCCAGCATGTTTGAAGCGCGCTCAACGACTCCTTGATGGCGCAACATCACCGCTCTCTCCTGAGGAGGCAATGATGCAATGTCAGTAACGTTGAGCTGCTCCATCTCGGCCGTGGGCAGCGCAGGCGCAGGGGCGGCTGCCGCTGCTGGGGCTTGACGTGATGATCCTCCAGGTGCCGCTGCACCGTTGCCTCGGCGAGACGAGGAAGCTGGTGTCGTACTCGCTGGCTGCGACAACGAGCCACCAAACGTACGGTTAGAAACTGACTGCGCCGAGTGGATTGCCATCTGTCTTTGGAAGGCAAGCTCATCCCGACGAAGCGGTTGCGCAGAGCTATGGGGTATGGGCTCGGCATTGGGATCCCGGCCACGGCCACGGCCTTGACGTCCACTGGAAGGACCATCACCGCCGCCACCGCCGCCGCTTCTACCCCCGCCACCCCCTCCACGTCTCTCGGTCTCGTATGTCGATCTGTAGTCAAAGCCTGACATGTTTACTACCCTCGCATCTCTCCGCACATCCTTGGACAGAGAGTTGGCATGCTCTTCCAGTTGATGTGCCTTCAAGTCCATCTCCGACTCAAAGACGACAAATTTCTTCTCCAAACATTCCTTGTCCAGACAGGGGAAATGGTCCTTTTCAAAGTGCTTTTCCAAGGCGTTGTAGTTGACAAAGTAGTGGGGGTGTCTCGAGTCTCTCCGGTCGCAGATGAAACATCTTTCGTGCTTTTCGCGGCAGTGATCAAAGAGCTTATCATCGTCGTAGAAGCGCGATCCACAGAACCCGCATAGGGGGTGGCCCTTGAAGCCTGTCTGGTCAATGGCACCTGGCCTGTCGTCTCCATGCCTCATGTGCTTCTCGAGCTCCTTGTCGGCAAAGAGCTCATGCTCGTGGGTAAAGACCTTCTTGTTCCTGGTACACAGGTCACACATCTTCATGTGATGCGTTGAGCGGACGTGCCTATGAAGATCTGGCCATCCTAAACCGGCGAAGACACAGTCCTCCGCAGGGCAGTTGTATCGTAGGAGCACGACAGTGTCACCGACAATTTCCTCATTCGTATATCGAATACCGATGTTACTATCGAAACTCGTGATATCGGCGTCGGTATAGTCCTCGTATCGCTTGTTCGCATCATCCGTGAAAACGACAAAGGGAGAAGCAGTCTAGCTTGAAGTCAGTCTCGGCGTATCAACGGCGCGCCAGTAGAAAGAAGGCTTACTCGACAATGAGGACAGTCCTTGGTCTTGTATAGGGCTCTCATGCGCAGACCACAGATGTGGCAGGTCTTGTGGTTGCATGGTGCAATTGAGTGGAACTTGATGGGCTCTGCGCAGATGAAGCACACCTCTCCGTCACTACTCGCCGTGTCATCGTCCGCTGCAGCCGTGCGTGTAAGCACCTTGTTATCGGCTTTGGCGATAGGGGCCTCGGATGCGCTCGAGGTGTCTGGCTGAGTTGGCGCAGCAGCGTTGTTACCGCCTCTACCACGTCCTCCTCTTCCTCTTCCACGGGTCCCAGAGTTGCCTCCTCCTCCCCCTCCACCACCACCGCGACCTCTTCCACGGTTGCGATTACCCCTCGAGGGGTTCGAGTCACCGCCGGCAGCTTGGGCGTCGGCCATCGGAAGCGTCGTCTTTCGCGTAGACAGTGGGCGTGGAAGTACAGTAATGGGGTTATGCAGTCGGCCGAACGATTCGATCAAGGCCAACTGTCTTACACTGGAAGTGCTTTTCTTTGATGCGCGAAATCGGTCCTCCACTCAAGCTTGATTGTGGGCCGGTGTAGCTGAAGCTGGACAGCTTCTTTCGAAATGTGTGCAGTGATTTGAAAAGGCAGCGTAAGTTGATACAAGAGTAGAGCAGAGATCCGGAATGTAGACGGGCAACCCAGTACTTTTAGTCGGGCGCGGCGAGACGATGTACGTCGAAATTAATGATTATGTGTGGCTCCCAAGGGAACCGCGAGTGGGTTGGATTGGCTCTGGTATTGGTGGGCGGAGGGAATCCATGGCGGGGTCCAGCAAAAAAGTCCCCTTGCTCGTTGCTGCCACTGCTCACTCAGTCCCGTCCTAAGGAACTTCCATTCTAAGCGACCGGGGTTTCTCCGTGCTCTCGGTGTGCGTCATTCACCCCTGCAACCGCCATCTGCCACCCGCCGGCCCGAGAAGCTTCAACCTGAGCTTACATAACACGACAGACTGACCACGAGCTGACAGCTGAGCTTCGCGGAGCCACCAGTCAGTTCCAGGACACGTGTGGCTTTGCACTCGACTCACGAGGCGGTGCAAGAGGCCTTCATGAAGTCAAGTCTGTTTACTATCAGATGTCGGTTTGAAATCGTATCTGCCTTACCTTAGGCACCACCTACTCTGGGGTGCATACAAAATGACTCATCGGTAATCATCGTTCCCGTGGTGAGATCCTGACCAGCTGAAGCCTCTCTGCAGCTTCCTGGACATCGTGCCTTTGGTCTTGCATCATTGCCCCCAACGGGTTGCGTCACTGGAGCGGCATGATGCTTAGCGAATATCTTAATAGAGTGTATTTAATGGAGACTAGTGTAGACCGATTCCAAAGGCCGAGCTAGCCCAGATTCTCTACCTTGGGTAGCGTAAAGCCTGCAGTTGCAGCAATGGCTGCGACGGCCGGCATGGCCAAATATGTAAAATAAGGTATGCCATGTCGACAACGAACCCACCCTCTACTGATAGCCTCCTCGAACAACTACACACGATAAGGCACTTTGCGGTTCGCCGTCCATTTGCTGCCTGTACCCGGATGCCCAACCAAACCGCCCAGAAAGTTCTGATTGCCCGTCCCAAACCAGAAAGACGCCATTGCTTTAAATCGCACCGCTCGTCCGTGTTATCTTCATCCTGGACCACCTCCTTCTTGAGTCTGCTCTCACTGCTCCTCAACCTCAACCGGGTAAAGGTGGGCGCCGATCATCTTGTTCATCTGGAACATATCCACCTTAGATTGCTTGAAAATAGCATGCATCTTGTCGTCGCATAGGATTTGTCTCTTGTTTTCCGGATCCTGTAGGTCGTGGCCCTTGATGTGTTCCCAGAGCTTCTTGACAACCTGCGGACGAGAGAGCTTGGGTAAAAGTTAGCACGTTATCAAGGTACCAAACAACATGTTATCTAGAGAGACCATACCTGGGGTTCGCCAAGCAACTCTGACAACGGCTCGCTCAAGTTGAAGGGCTTTTGGAATCCACCACCAGCCTTGCGTTTTGGCGGTTCGCCGCTATCCTCGACGTCACTGTCATCAATCTTCTTCGCGCTCTTCTTGCGAGGCGCCTTCTTCTTGGCCGCTTTGCTACCCTTGCTGCTTGCGCCGTTGCCGCCGCGTGTTGTCCGCCCTCTCGCCATTTGATTTTCCTGGGCTTGTAGCTTGGCAGCCAGCTTGGCGTCGGCGTCTTCAGAGGAGTCCTCGCGCTTCTGCCTCTTCCTGACGGGCGCGACGGAAACCTCAATCTCGCCATCAATATCATCGTCGTGGCCGTTGGCTTCGCGCTTCGGGGCGGGGCTTGCGGAGTATGAGTCGGGTGCTGCGTCGTTGGAACCAGAGATTGCATCGAAACGCTCTTCTATCAGCGCCTTGATGGCATCCTGCAAGCGTTCATGTTTAGCCCTAGCTTATCGGCAGGTAGATGTCGGCAGTTGGCGGTGAGATTCTTGGATATCTTACCTTTTGAGTAGTCAAGTCCTTCCCGCCAAGAGCTTTCTCCAGACCCAAACGGATCTTCTTTCGAGTGATGGTCGTCAAGTCCGCAGTAGCGAGAATGCCATCAATGATGTGGGTGTAGTTATCCTCATCCTCGGAGCTCACTGCACAGGTCAGTTTAGCGACAGCGTTCTAGGCAATGAAACCCAGAGTGCAGGAACGTACGGGGAAGAGACATGATGCCGCTGGAGTGTATGATGTTCCTGGACCAATCTGTGTAGACAGGATGTCGGGTGTCGATATTCGATCCGGAGCGGCCGATAGTTGCAGGTGCACGGCCGGTTGAAGGTGTCGCGCAAGAGTATTTGAAGCACCTGGAGAGGCAGCTGGCCGGTCGATGGTGGAAGAAGACGAGGAGTCGGCGAGAAGAGTTGGCAGGTGGGTTGTTTGGTTGGTCTCGAATCAGAGCATGTCTTTTGGCGATCGGCAGCTTAGCTTGGCATCAGTTGGAAAGGCGCGACGACCATGGAAATTCGACTAAAAGGTGCGATGTGGGACAGCACGATCCACGCCTCTGGCTATATCGCGGCGGAGTGCATCAACGTGCCGACGCACACACGCACACAAGGCTGAAGTGAGGACGATCTCTCGGTGGGGCGCGGCTGCCAAGGCGGGGGTCGCGAAGGAGAGGTGATGCACCTGATGAATACAAAGTATAAGGTGTCAGTCGGAGAGGTGGGGAGTGATCTGGAGTTGTGAGAATTGGAACAGCGAGGCTTCGTTCCAAACAACCAGATGCGACGGACGTGCGGCGTCGGTGCAGCGTGCAGAGTGTGGTGCGATCTGTGGCCCGGGCAGGAAAAGGTGAGGCTCACACTTTCCGATGTTTGGTTCTTGTCTGTCGGCACCTTAGCGTGTGGTCTGTTCTGAAGACCGGGTAGCCTGTACGCAGTATCCGTAGCAGGGGAGAATGAAATACCTTAGCAACCAGACAAAAGCCGACGAATAGAAAGGCCAATTGCGGGTTATGTGTGGCTGAAAGGAAAGACGGAAAAAAGTGGTCTTGGGTCTTGTTGTCTTGCAGTCTTGCATTAGACGTTGGCTCGTGCTGCCAGCAGTTCCAGACCGTGACGCCATGCCAATCACAGTACCGAATTGACTCCCGGCTGATGTTCCTTCGGCAGCCCCACCCCTCACCGGTCGGCTAACAAGCATCACGTGGCTCGGCTTGCACGGCCGGGGAAGGCGCGTCTTGAGGTTTCACTCAGTCTTATCTCATTGGATAAGCCACCTTCTATCCTGTGTACCTACCTTACCTTAAGGTCTCATTCAGAACACTTCAGCCTTCGTCGCACTGCACCTTCCAAGTTCTCTCTGCCATTTCCTGTGGTTGCGATATCGTTCCATCAAAGCTTGTCTGCTCATTACATAAGACATTGCGGCAGTTCCGTGCAGGATAAACACTCTATCAAAGCCCACGATCCAATCCAGAGTCTGGATAATTGCCTTACTCATGTCGCGCTGTGAGCTGTCACTTTTGTATCTGAGATTTGAGGGTCTGAGGTACTCAAGATTCTAAAGCAAAACTCGAGCCAATAATCAACCTCCCCTATGTAATCGTGATGCAAACTCGCTACATTCAAGGTAGGTATATACCTACATAGGGCCAAGACGAGATAGTTGGTCACGGAGAACACGCATCACAATCCTCAAGCGATTCGGCCTTGCCACTTCATACTGAAGTACCTATATGATCTCTCCTCAATATGCGGTACTAAGGATGCTATACTATACATCAGCTTCGATCGCCTGTCAGCACCTTGTTAGAATAGCGGGACCGTATCTCGGTGTGCTGACCAATCAGAAATCTGGACTTGGCTCGGTGAGAGTCCAGAGTGGTTCCTAAATCGGCAAAGGCGCACTCCACCATTCTAAGTTAGCTTCGGGCCAATGAAGACTCCGGCGGTCACAACTGGACCATCTTCTACAGAACATCAGTCTATCTCTTGCGCTTGTGTCTAGCCGTTTAATCGGTGACGTCGGTCTTCGTGGTCACAATTTACTTATTCCATATCCTTATTTGACTCAACACTTCTGCCCTGCATCGTCTAGATCACCCCGTTTGTTCTTGCTTCAAGATTGTTCCAAGGGAGAGAAGCCGAGATGCTCAACCCCTTCAGTATCTTCACGCAGGCCTTTCCGCCGCGGCCGCAATTCACGGAGAAGGAAATTCCTGATCTCTCTGGCAGGGTGAGTGTCTCGCGTAATACATTCAACATGAGTCGCTGTATACTTACACGTCGCAGGTCTGCATCGTAACAGGAGCAAACACTGGTGTTGGCAAGGAAGTCGCACAGATTCTGTACTCCAAGAACGCCACCGTCTACGCTACCTCTCGTTCCGAAGAGAAGGGCCATGTGGCCATTGCTGCCATCAAGGACGCGGTGCCTAATTCCACCGGAAAGCTGGATCTCCTCACTCTGGATCTGGCCGATCTTACCACCATCAAACCCGCAGCAGACATTTTCCTGGCCAAGGAGACACAGCTGCATCTTCTCATCAACAATGCCGGCGTCATGATGCCGCCTCAGGGGAGCAAGACAGCCCAGGGGTACGAACTGCAGCTGGGAACAAATTGCGTCGGCCCGTTCCTCTTCACCAAGCTGCTCACGCCGACTCTGGTACAAACGGCCAAGACAGCACCCAAAGACAGCTGCCGCGTTGTCTGGGTTTCGAGTTCAGCCGCAGAGGTGCTGTCGCCGAACCCCGCCATCGAGATTGATAACCTCGACTACAGCAGGGACAGAATCAAGGAGTTCAAATACGGCATCAGCAAGGCAGGCAACTATTTCCACTCTACTGAATTCGCCAAGCGACACAAGGCCGACGGCGTCATCAGTCTCGTAAGTCTTGGCACAATGCGGGCGAAGTTGATGTGGAATGGACAACTGACTGTGCAAAGGCCTTGAATCCGGGAAACCTTTCATCAGAGCTGGATCGCCACATTACAGCGCTGATCCCGACGTTATTCAGAAGAGCTACCACGTATCCGGCTATCAACGGTGCTTACACTGAGTTGTTTGCAGCGCTATCTCCCGACGTGACTATTGAGAAGACGGGCGACTGGGGTGAGTTTGACCTTGTCTTTTGACTTTCATGGGTTGCTGACTGGATGTCTCCTAGTTGTTCCATGGGGTCGTTTTTATGCCATTCGGGGTGATCTCGTTCAGGACTCCAAGTCACGCGAAGATGGTGGCACAGGTCTCGCCGAAGATTTTTGGAAATGGACTGAGGAGCAGGTAGCAAAGTACCTCTAATGTACGAGCGAGTTCAACAATCTAGACCAATTGTTCCCAAATGAAAGACCAGCATTTACAGCGAACTCAAGACATGTTCAAGTGAGTCACTGGTTCACATTTACAGTTCAGACATCATGAGAGTGAGCAGCTGTGGTATCGTACACTGAAGAATATATTCAAAACTAAGTCCAATAGGCAGGCACAGTGACAAGTCTTATATGCAAAAATGATATGTACATCAGAAGTGTTCCTTTTCACGCCTCGGAAGTCCAAAGGGACATCCAAGCGTTCTCGTCCTCCTCAAGCCACAGTCAACGACAGAGACACTTAGTTGCGCTTGGCGTGGTTGCGGCGGCGGCGGCGACGGCAAGCGGGCTTGGCGCTAGCAGAGGCAGCCGGGGCAGAGCTGGTGGTGGCAGCAGCCGGGGTGGTGGCAGCGGGAGCGGAGGGCTCCTCAGAGACAACGGGAGCTGCGGAGGAGACGGGGGTCGCGACGGGAGCAGAAGAGGAAGCGGGCTCAGACTCGACGGGGGCGGCGGAGGAGACGGGGGCAGCGCTGGTGGTAGGGGCGGCAGCAGCGGGAGCGGAGGAGGCGGCGGCCGAGGTGGCAGCGGGGGCGGCAGAGGAAGCAGGGGCGGAGGAGCCGGCATCGGAAGATCCGGAACCGACGGCCTTGGTGATGTCGCCGTCCTCAATGTAGACGCCGGAGAAGTAGAAGTCCTCAGTCTCATCGGCGTAGCCGTCACGGGGGAGCTCGAGGACACCGACGTGCCAGTCGGCACCGTTGCTGGAGGCGGAGACAGTGACGGGGGCGACGACCTGGGTCAGGGCCTCGGCGCCGGTGGAGTGCCAGAAGCCGACGGAGCCGCCGTCAAAGTCGATCTCGTAGGCGACGTTGTGCCAGACGTCAGCGTCCCAGTTGACGCTCCACTCGGTCTTGCCGTCGACGACCCAGCGGAGGAGGGGGTCCTCGGTGCCGGTGGCGCCGCTCTGCCAGCCAGACTTCATCTCGACAAAGTGGCTCTCGAAGAAGGCGATCTGGTGCTCCTTGTTCAGGGACGGGGCGTTGGTGTCGCTGCGCTTCAGGGAGAAGTGGTAGAAGAGCTTGCCCTTGCCGATGGCGGCGGTGGTCTGGGGGATCAGCTCGGTGCGGCGCATGGTCTGGCCGTTCCAGAAGGAGGTGCTGGTCAGTGAGATCTTGGCACCCTGCTTGGAGCCCGTGTCGGCCGGGTTCTTGAAGTCCGAGGAGAGGTTGACGTAGTCGGTGGCGGCGCCGGAACCGTGGATGTAGTACTGGTAGGAGCCGACCTGGCTGCTCCAGGACCACTTGTCGAGGTCAGTGGCAGCGGTCATGTCGTTGAAGCGACCATCCCAAAGGATCTCGCACTGGGCGCGGGTGGCCAGCAGAGCCGCGCTGGCGATGCTCCATGTGAACTTCATTTTTGCGGGTTGGTGTGGTTGGTTTGGGAGTTTTTGGGTGTGTAAGTGAGCGTGTGTATGCCTGAACCGACCGGGCGGCTTGGAGAAAGCTTGAAGGCAAGGGTTTGAACGAATGGAATGTTTTCGAAAAGAAAGAGAGGACGCAGGTCGCAGCAATCGATGCCTTGGCCTTGCTTCAGGAAGTTCAATGTACGATAGAGAATGTAGCTAAGCTCAAACGGAACGAGGCATGGCGGCACGCGTTGGCAGACCAGCTCCTTTATGTAGGTTCCCTTTGGCTTCCTGCTCTTCACCCCTTGGGACGAACTTGCAACCCATCCTCGCTCCGTGGTTCCTGGAAAGGAGATGACCCCGCAGGTTTAGCTGCGAGGAATAGAGTAGAAGGCTCCTTTGGGGAAATGGGCCTTGCAGAAGCACTTTGTTTCACGGCAAGGTTTCCCGGTTCAGCGGATTCATTTTGCAAGCGTCTGTCAAGCGAGGCCTGTAAGTGGGATTAGATTGCGGAGTTGTCCCTGACTTCAGGTGAGGCCATGGTTGATGAGGCCACGCCATATCCGTACATGTGCGGCCTGCAGGTCCCAGGTAGCGGCGGCAAGGAAAGGCATAGCAACTTAGCAACTGAGCAGCTAGCTAGAGGAGCCAAGAGACAGAGACTGCAGGATCCCGCAGCGAAAGGAGTCATGGAAAGGAGTCGTGGAAAGGCCAGGGCTTGGGCTCGGGTGGGAGAAGCGGACCAACACAGCCAGAGAGAAATGAACAGGGCGCTGGGTGGGCGCTTGATGTTAATGAAGTCGAGCCCACATCTCGTTTGCATCTTGTATGGATGACGATGCAGGGGGTGCTAAAAAGACGTTGTCGTCGTGTGGGAGAGCCGCCCAGGTGCGAAGCTTCTGCTGGTGGGAAATTTGCACACGGGGCACGGGGTGGGTCCACTAGACCGGATCGGGGCCGTCTCCAAACAAGCAAGCTGCAAGCGCCCCTTTTCGGCATAACCGGGAATACCCTTCTTTGGGGGCCTGCGCCGTGCAATATTCACCCAATATTCAAGCACCCAAGTTCATCCCAAAAACTCAATTTGAAAGGCCGTCACGTCGCCTGTGACCTGTCAAGCTTCAAGCCTCCACCGGCTGCCACTGTCGGGTTGTGGGCGACGGCATGGCGGTGGGAAGGGTGTTGTATGACGTGATGTGTTATACCCGAAATAACGTTCTTCTGTTCGGCTATCGCTCACCTTGTTAAGTATAATAGGCCCCAAAGCCTAAGAGCCTATTAATCATGTTAAGAAGTACGGATAAGGCGGGAGATCTCCCGAGACAGGCATGCATACCCGGGCCCGAGCCTCCGGATCATCCACAAGTCGCCCCGGCTAGAAGGCCGGGGCTTCAACGAATATGCGAGACAAGCCACAACATTCATGATTGTTGTATTCATTGAGGGGATGAAGAGGATGTCGCCGTTGACTTCATCCATTGTTTCTGTTCTCCGAATATTTACAACAAAACCTATCGCGTCTTCCTCCCTGACCTACCAAAAACCCATTCATGTTGTCTGTAGTTCTGCCTCTTCATGACCGAAGGTACTCACAGACGCTTTTGCCCCAACGCGACGCCCCCTTGTATACCCACATGCCAGGCGCATTACCCGTCTTCAGGCCTTCTATAGCATCCGCGAGCACGAGCCCGAACCCCTCCTTCTTCACCTCTTCTATGGGCGTGAGGTACGTCTTGAAAGAGAACATGATCGCTCCCGTCTTGGGAAGTCTGGTCAAGGTCTGTAGTTCTTGGCGCAAACGAGCCTAGCTGGTGTAAGTCCATGATAGGCGACACACACGGCGTTCGAGACGATGATCTCACCTTTGTGATATCGACATCCTCATCCTCTTCCGTCTTGTCACCCTCATAGATGTGCAAGTTGCCCGGGCTGAAGAGGTTCTCATGGGTCGAAACAGACCACTATAGCATTCATCAGCGCCAAAGTTTCAACATCCGGGGGACACATTGACTCACGTTCATCCGCTTGAAGCTCTTCCCAACTTGCAATCGACAGAAGAAACGCTCCATGCTTGCGCCAATTTTGTCGTAGGATGGCACCGGCGTGTGAATATCCTTCATCAGCTTCCCTAGCTTATCGGAGGGATCGAATCCAGCAGGATGGCAGCAGACGAACGCCACAGCACGATGACCATCTGGTGTCTCTACCAGCAAAAATACGTCGTCTTCCACGGTCTCTCCAATAGCTTTGAGCGCAACCAGGGGGTCCTCTGGCGGCGTGAGCGGTAGTGATGTCTTGGTAACGTGGTTGTGGAACTCAGTCTTGTCCTCGGACAGGGAGAACATGGTTGGATACCGCTTCGGCAGATACTCTGACAGCAAATGCGTCCAGGTTTCGTGGAGAGCAGGTATGCCTTCAGGCACAGCCCCCGCTACCGTTGACGTATGCTTCTCCAGGAGTTGACGACGCTCGGTCACGCGGTCAAGGTAGTTGTTATCTATTATGATGAGGTCTTCAGGCGGGCTCGCTTGGATGGCTAATATGATACTTTGTTAGAATACAAGAAAGGCCACTTATGCGAGGTTTGTGGTACCCATGGTGATGTGATAGACTGGTTTGAATGGTCGATGCTTGGCAGGATCGATATTCTGCCAGTCAAAATCTTTCAGGGGCGTTATATCAGTCTTTTCATCTGACTTCTCCTGCGAGCTGGTCGCCGCAAGCTTTACCTTCATACAGTCAGATATCGCATGGGATCTTTCAAAGATAAGGGGGCACACCTTTGTGGCATATCGCCACTTCCATCTCCATGCGGAGAACAGCAGTACAGCTACAGCCAAAGCTGAGACGAGGAACATATTGGCGTTATGGAATGATGTGGGATGCGAAGCCTAGAATAGAAGATGTTCAAAGAACTATAAGATGGGATGAGTTGAACCGTTTCAGCCCAGAAATGACCTGGTGACGTGACTCAGGATAACAGCCAACTTAGAAGGCGAGGATCCCTGATACAAGTCGAGGAGCCAAGAGCAGACCGTTATCGGCCCAGACAGCCGGGCAGTACACCAAGTCTACGCTAGTAATCTAGACTTTCCGAGTCGTGGGATCCCACCCAGGGCCACGATACCTCTTTTAGGCAATAGATTGAGACCACTGGCAATCGCCTGACCTCGATTGGCCCTGCCAATGAGATTCACCACATTTGGGCAGTAAAAAGAGAGACCGTTCCACATTCTCCAAGTCTGCACTCATGCATCGGACCCAGCGTAATTAGCGTATCAAGCATAGAGCGTGGCATTCGACCACGCAGTAGATCTCCCGCCTGGGATGTTGATTCGATCCCGAAGCTTCCCCGTAAACGGTACTGGCAACCCACAGAACGACTCAAACGCATCTGATGATGTCGTGTTGTAGTCCCGCGATGTCAGCTTTTTGATCACATTATACGTAATACAACTTGAACCCCATAATGCTTCAGCCGCCGGCCGGCTCAGCCTTCCCCCTTCAGCTTGTTTCCGATGAGGGGAGACGTACATGGCTGCAGCGTACAAACGCCACGCCAACATGCCATTCCAGGTCCAAACCGATGGATTTACTATTAGATGTCTTAAAGAGACACGATGGTGGGAGATGATGTAGCTAGCTCCACGTTCTCATCTCATTAAGCACTAGTATCGCTTACAACATGTCTCTGTGCGATCAAGAATTCAACAGAGCCTCACCCAGAAGGGTCAGAAAGTGAATCTATGAGACAAAATTTCTCACTGCCAGTATTGATGGGCTCGTCAAGGTCCTGTTCAAGATAAAGCAGACAATGAGGGAGTGAGTACGACCTCACCTGGTGACAGTGCATGACTCTACCCCGCAATCGGACTTTACATGCCGACAATCGATAAGAGGAGAGAAAGAAGATAAGGGACCCAAGGGACCCTAGCTTAGTCATGATTCTTCAAGGTGCAATCGAACTCGGAATGCTTCATCGAGGGCTCATAAGTCAGCAGAAGCTTATCTTTTCAGCTACGTAATCACGCAAGCTCTGGCAGGGGTGAGCTCCTCATTCGACTCCATGCTCTCACCATCATCCATGTCATTGACCACTCATATTGCCGAAGTCGCGACCGAAGAGAAGCGATCACTGCCCTGTGTGCCCCTCCAGATACTCCCAAAGCTCATTGTCGCCGGCGATGTCTGCGCTCTGGCTTTGAAACATCGGCCGATCATCCAGCCGAACCGTCAGTCACCTTCTTGATTGGGCCAAGGGTTGTCCCAAGGAACTCAATCCTCGTAGGATTAAAGACAATATAACATATCCCTTGCTCCTCGGACTTTTCACATCTTTGCCTTTCGTAGTTTTTGCTGCAACAACAACACCAGAACGTTGTTGTCATGGATTCGGAAAAGAGCGGCATGTTGCCGCCGTACAGCGCCGCGGACCTCCCGCTGCCCTCGGGCCCTCGGCACTCTCATCACCACAAGCGATGGCTACGACCTAGACGCAGCATGAAGCTCATCGTGGGGTGTCTCGCATTCATTGCCTTTGCTCAATGGAAACAGATCTCGATTCTGCCTTCCCGCGAGCCATCATCTTCCCTGTCTGCGGACCGTCTGCAGCAAGATTTGGCGACTTGCGCCAAGTTGCGACACAAGCCACAGGATCCAATTGGCCTCGGCCGAGAGAAGAACGCTCGTTACTTCGACGGTCAGCACCCGACACTCATCCGCAATGCTACAATTTGGGTTGGCGAAGCCGTCGAGGGAACATCGCCCGAGGACGCGCGCGCCGGCAAAGGGTACTCGTGGATCACTGCCGATGTTCTCATCGACTACGGTCTGATTCAAAAGGTCGAAGCTGACATCTCCCTCGACTCCCTTCCCAAGGATACCCAGATTTGGGATGCCAAGGGCCGCCAATTAACCAGCGGCATCATTGACATGCACTCTCACGCCGGTGTTGGTGCCCTGCCCGAGCTCGTCGGCAACCAAGATGTGAATGAGATGTCCAACGATATTACTCCCTACGTTCGTTCGATTGATGGACTCAACCCCCTCGACCCACAGATCCAGGTCATCAAATCTGGCGGTGTCACTACCTCGCTAGTCCTGCCGGGCTCTGGCAATAACATGGGAGGCGAGGCCTTTGTCATTAAGCACGCCGTTGGCAAACCCGATGGCCGCACCGAGCTGTCTGCCGAGGACATGCTGGCTGACCCGGATCGCAACTGGCGGTACATGAAGATGGCATGTGGAGAGAACGCGAAACGCGTGTATGGAAAAGTTGGACACAGCCCATTCTCCCGTCTCGGCGAGAGCTGGGAGTTCCGCCATGCCTTTGAGCAAGCAGCAAAGCTTGTACAAGAGCAGGACGACTGGTGTGCGGCAGCAGACAAGTTTGGAGTCGAGAGCCAGTCATCCTACTTGCCTCAGGATCTCCAGTGGGAAAGTCTCAGTGCTGCCCTGCGAGGTCAAGTGCACATCAACACCCACTGCTACACGATTCCGGATTTGGAGGCATTTGTCGACCACACCAACGAGTTCAAGTTCCCAGTGCGGGCCTTCCACCACGCCCATCAGACCTTCCTGGTTCCCGAGGTGCGTCTCTCCGGGTTGCTCGTATCTGATCTCATCACTAACAAGTTTCTGTAGATCTTGAAGCGCGTCTGGGGTGGTCGCCCCCCTGCTTCCGCGCTGTTTGCCGACAACATGTACTACAAGTCCGAGTCGTACATTGGCTCCGAGTACGCTGGCAAGATCCTCTGGGAGAATGGCCTTACCCCCGTGTACGTCAGTGACAACCCGGTCTTGAACGCCCAACATGTCCTCTTCGAGGCCGCCAAGGCTTACAGATATGGCCTTCCCTACCATGCAGCGCTGTCCGGTGTGACATCTGCGCCTGCCGAGTTGTTGGGCTTGGGCCAGCGAATTGGCAAGATCAAGCCAGGCTTTGATGCCGACATTGCTGTGTGGGACAGCGATCCTCTGAGTGTTGGTGCCGCACCTGTGCAGGTGTGGATTGATGGAGCTGCCCAGTTTTCTGATCCTTTTGAGCTCAAGAAGCCTCTTGAGGGCCCCATCTCTCCGGATTCCAAGCTGGCCAACACTACTGAGGACACCATAGATCTCGAGGAGGTTGTTTTCACTGGCGTTTCTAATGTTTGGCTGTCGGGCGAGGAGGTCAGGACAGCCAATGGCGAGGCTGTGAACGTTGTCTTCTCAAACGGCGATATCAAGTGCATTGGCGCCTGCTCTGAGGAGGTTGCGGCTGCCAAGTCTTCGTCTAAGAAGGTCATTGACTTGAAGAATGGCCACATCACTGAGTCTCTCACCGCGTTCGGCTCTCTCATTGGCCTCAACGAGATTGACAACGAGGCAGACACAGACAACGGCCGTAACCCCACTGGTTTCAGTCGTGGTCTTGACGGTCTTGTGCTTGACAACAAAAAGCTGCACGTGGCTAAGCGATACGGCGTCACCAAAGCCATCTCGGCGCCTAAGTTCACGGGTGGATTGACGCACTCTGGAACCAGTGTTGGTTTCAACACTGACGCCAAACACTCCCTCGAGAAGGGTGCTGTCTGGGCCGAGGACGTAGCCGTTCATCGTACATTGACTCTCGCTGCGAAGAGGGGTGATAATCCATCAATTTCTGACGCCATTGGCAAACTCCGACACACTCTCTTGGAGGCAGTCGCGACCAATGATACTGGATCGGATCCTTTCTCAGAGGCGGCCTACCTCAAGAAGGTGGTCAACGGAGAGCTGCCCTTGGTCCTGACAGTCCATAGTGCCGACACCATTGTCGCTGCCCTGAGAGTCAAGGCTACGGTTGAAGAGGCGTTGGCTGCAAAGAGACAGTCACCAGAGTTTCCCAAGCTCCGTGTCTCCATCATTGGAGGCGCTGAGTCTCATCTCGTCGCTTCAGAGCTGGCCGCTGCCGGGGTCGGTGTGCTTCTTGCACCTTTCCAGTCATACTCGTATACCTGGGACCAGAGACGTTCATTGACCGGCGCCCCTCTCACGAACGGTACCGCCATCGATACTCTCATCGACGCTGGTGTCGTCACTGCCATCGGCCTGGAGGAGGATTGGTTGATCCGTGACTTGGGACTGCTTGCCGGTATTGCACAGAAGAACGGAAACGGGCGGCTGAGCGAGAAGAACGCGTTGGATCTGGTTTCCTCCAACGTCTACAAGATTCTCGGCATTGAAGAGTCGCAGTCGAAGAGCGGCCGCCACTTTGCTGTGTACGAGGGCAGCCCGCTTGAGATTGGAGGCAGAATCCGTGCTGTCGGCAGTGGCCGTGACACGGTGTCTGTCTTCGTGTAAACGAGTCGTGGGAGGTGTCTAGGCCTACGTTTACGTCGGGTAGTCTTCGTTCACCAAAACTTGAAAGACCCATTAATGACTCGGGAAGTATTCCGATCCCGGTTCCGAACCGCGCGGGGAAGACAGTAATCCAACACATGATCAAACTGCATGGCGGCTCATTTGACAACTGATAGTGATATTGCAAATGTTCCCATTCTAAGCACATTAGATCCAGCTGAATCAGCTCTAGCCGTCCCGATTTGCCGCAGGGTCGTGGCGCTGATTCCTTTGACGTTGTGGTCCCGCGCGGGTATTACCAATCTGATCCCGGACGGTGACGATCCCGGCGTATCACCCTTTGACCAATAAGAAAGAACCAGAGCGAAGCCAACTAAACGGATACCGTTGCTATTTGAGCTTCCTGGTCCCCCACCATCCGTTGGGTTAGTAAGGGTCTAAATAGTCAGATGAACAGTATCGAATGACAACAGTAACAAGAACTCTGTCTTACTGGACCAGAACTCTACGATTTCGGAAAATCAACTGGACAAACAAACGAAATTTCAGAACATCATCTTCCACAATGACGCGCGCTGCAGCAATTTGCGTTGCGCACGGCGGAGGTATGCTGAGCTCGCTTGAAGGCCCAAGAAAGCTCCAGCGCTGACTTACACGTCTTAGGTCCTATGCCTGTTCTTGGTGACCCTGGCCACGCTTCCATCACCGCATCACTCCAGAAGCGCGTGCCCAAGATCTTGAAGCTCAACACACCAGACGCACCGAGAGCTATTGTGGTTGTAACGGCACATTGGTCAGAAGGCGCACCAACCATCTCATCAGGAGATCGCCATGACCTGTACTACGACTATGGCGGCTTCCCGCGGGAGGCATACTCACTCAAGTATCCCGCCCCGGGATCGCCAAGTGTCGCAAATGAGTTGAAGCAAGCTCTCGAGAAAGAGGGTCTCTCACCGGTAATGAACTCACGTCGTGGTAAGTAGAAGCAACGGCACGGACGCGGCAGTAGACCTAGATTAACGTTCAACTTAGGCTGGGATCATGGCGTCTTTATTCCACTCCTTCTCATTCATCCAGCCGCCGACATTCCAGTCATTCAGCTTTCAGTGCTGGCTTCCGAGGACCCCGAGGAGCACTTCCGCATGGGTCGTGCCCTCTTAGCGTTGCGCGACACCAACGTCGCCGTCGTTGGCTCGGGTTTTGCCTCGCTTCACAATATGGGAAAACTGCGGTCACTCATGATGGGAGATCCGTCAACGGCAAAGAAGATCAGGACGCAGGTCAACGAGTGGGGCAAGGAGTTAACAGACGCTGCACTCCTAGAGAAGCGGGAAGACCGTATCAAGGCGCTGTCCAACTGGCGCAAGTTCTCTCACAGTTACGACATGCACCCTCGCTACGGCGCGGAGCACTTCATGCCTCTGTTGGTATGCGCGGGTGCTGCTGACGACGAGGTTGGCCGGGCGTATAATGACGACTTCCTTGGCGCGGATATCAAGACATATTATTGGGGAGATGTACGTGTCTGATTATTCTAACTAGCACCTTGTTCCATCTATATGCCCATTCCCGGAGCGCCACTCCCTATCCGCATCTATCCAAGCGGATTGTGGTGAGGGTGAGATACTTCTCTGCCCTTCTATCCCATAATACATTTGACTCGTTATATCATGATTCTTCCAATGTCTTCCTAGCCAAGAACCCCGACGCCCAATGCTGATGGAAAATAATACAGTCCTCTAAGTGGGAAAACCCTCGAATGTCCTCCAGTCCCGTCCAAATAAAACATCTTTTGTGAGCGCAAAGAATACAGAAACTGGTGTAAAACATTACAAATGAGGAGGGTCATGGTAGCGTAGACCAAGTGAGACAAGTTGTCAAAATTTGCCTCCAATGCCCATGGCATCGACGACGTGGGACTCCTTTTCGACGACCCAGCCGGTTTGCACGTAGTTGGAAAGCCAACTGACTTCGCGTCCGCGGTGGCCATCGCAGTCACGGCATCCGCGTCTCGCCATCTCGAGTCCGGTGACACCGTCCATGACGCCGCTTCTACCACCGACAGTCGCTCCCAGACCGGTCCAGCTGAGACGGCGACTGTCCTTACGGGATCGGCGTGTCTGCGCGTAGTTTGCCATGGCAGCGAGCTCTCGCTTCTCAGCAATGTCGCGGTCGATCATCATGACGTAGTCGAGGATGCTGCTGGGTGCTTGTGGTGATGAGGGATCGGGGAAGAGGGCCGAGAGATAGTCCGTCAGAAGCATCACGGGTCGCTGGTCGGGAACCCAATGACCAGAGGGTTGAGGAACCTGGTTCTGGATCACGAAAACGCCGCCGCAGAATCGGCCGTCAAGCTTCTTCTGAACAGAACGGAGCACACCCATCTGCGCGAATGGGTCGTTGGCGTAGGCGAAGTGCTCGATGTGAGGACCACGGTCTTCAACCACTGCGGTGGATCCGTCCTCGAAGCGGGTAACCTTGCGGCTGGTTCCCCCGACAGGCGCTACGAATTCTGAAGCTGCGGCACCAAAGGTGTAAATCTCTAGTTTGGAGAGCTTTTCGGCCTGGATATCGGAGCAGAGGCGAGCAAGAACGTGTGCAACGGGGAGAGAGCCGTTGTTGTGGGCGAGTACAGCGACACGGTGAACTGCGGCATCGAGGAGGGCGGTGCGGAGCTCGGTGTAGAGGGCGCGCGAGGCTTGGGTTTCGAATGGGAAGCACCGCTGGATGGCGAGGAGGAGCATGTCGAAGGGTAGACCGTAGGTTGCCATCTGGATACCGCTGAAAGAGCGTCCGAAAAGGCGCGCGAGGCGAGGAATCGTGCATTGCGTGAGGTGGGTTGAGCTTCTCGGGTGTTAGTTGTTATGGGATCGCTGCTGAAGAAGGTGGAAGAGAGGGGACTCACCTGGTACCCATTCCACCAATGAAGATCCATCTCTCCTCGTCATCGTCGATGTCTGTCGTGCTGTTTCCGAACTCGTCGCAGCTGGACATGACTTCGTTTCCATTCATCAACCAACTCAGACCCAGAACCATGCTCATTGAGATTCCCAACCAAGCCCCGAACAGGATCCCCGGGAGAACGATGAATAAGGGGATGGCGAGTGTCACAATACCAACCTCGACGATGGCTAGACTGAGTTGGACGACAATGTCCTTGAGGTGGCTCTTGGAGAGGTGTTGACGGTGGTTGGCGACGTGTGTTCTTAGCGAAGCCATCAGACCCGGCATCATCTGCCACATTTCCCGTAGATCTTCATGAAGCAATGGCAAAGTCGGCTTCTGTGCTAGTGGTACGGTCCCACAAGCTCCATCGATGAGTGGCGGGATGTATGTTACTGAAGGTCCGCATGTCTTGATCGGTCCGCACGTGCTGTTCCTTGGTGATGTGCGTGGTGAGCCGGTGGGTGACTGGTACGATGGTGATCTCGATAGCCACGGCATGACAGGCGATGTTGTGGGAGATCTTTTCGCTGCTATGAACGGCATCGGAGCGAGTCTCTGGAAAAAATCAAAACGCAGGACGAAAGAAGGATATAGAGAGATGGTGGGTTGAAGGTAGGTATGTAGCTAAAGAGCTTGGAACGAAAGCAAGGGGGTTCGATCAAGAAGTAAAGTTTACACCCATGAAGATTCACATGCAACCCGGTGTTCTTTTAATCTTCGTTGCGTTGTTGTTGTTGTTGATGTCTCGTCGTTCACGCTGATTTTTAGTGCTTCCTCTCCCTTATCATTCCTCTTGCCGCTCGGGCAATCTTGTTGCAGACACCGGCGCAGAGCGCTTGTTTGGTGGCGCATTACTCGGCCAAATTCGCCCCGTGCCTTGACCATCTAGAATTAAGCCGTACCCCATTCGAGCCAGAGTGAGAAATTGGTTTAGGAAGTTTGTTTGGGTGTCGTCGGGGCTGGTGTGTTTACTTTCGAGCTCATCCCACTTACAAGAATTGTTGCGATCTCACGAGGGGTTCATCGGGCATTGTCTTCAAAGGGGCTGATTGGTGATGTCTTACACGACAAGTTGAACACACGAATAGTAGAACAAGAACCCCCAAAAGCTAGCCTCCATCAACCTTGCAGCCCTTCAAAGTCCTTGCAGCGGTCCGTCGAGTCTCATCCGAACTCTGAGCAGAATTCAGATGGCATTGATCACCCCGGCTACTCGGGTTCCAGAGCCGGGTCGATCCCGTTGCGGCTGGAAGCTGGGGTCTTGCAGGAAATTCTTTGGGACAAATGGTGCACCGAGCAACAGACTTCCACCTTGCAGCCCTAAGAGGGAGAGGCGCACAGAGGGGCCTATTTCTTCTGCCCGTCCTTTTTCCGCTAAGCCTCTTGAGTTCAGGGTTCTGGTGAGCCTCAGGGGAACTAAAAGGCGAGAAGGCGATGGACTGTAAGCCCGGTATTTTCGTCTAAGCTTTAGCAGCGCACTTTAGCCGCATGCTCCCTTACATGTGAAGTTCTGACGTAAGTTCGTCTAGTGTCCCGCGCCCGGCAGAGCACGTTTTTTTCTTTGTGCCCGGATGTTGAGCTTCGATCTCCGATGGGGCCGTGACTCCAGCGTAAGACTTCAGTCGAGCTTCGGCCCACCACTCAGCGATGGGAAGACGCGGGAGGACGAGAATCTCTGACACACTAAGTAAAGCCAATTGAGTCTTGACCCCCAATATGATAGCGAAATTCAACCGTTTCAAGATCCCGAAGTTCCTAATTGGCACGGCATCTGCGGGTTAGGAATGGAACACTAATAACCCCGGAGATATATGGGTCCCGAGACCCTCGACGACGACGCATATCAGGGCAGCGCATCCAAGGTGACCGCATGCATTCTTTGGCAAGCTGCCCCCAATCAGTATCTTTGCCTAGGAACAGAGATTCCTCAATTCCAGTGAAAATTTGCCTAGAACAGGAGGATCGGTTTGAGCTCTTTCTAGCCTAGGAGGTCAACGCCCACCTTCAAACACGAGGCGTTCAGCTTCTGTACTGGAAGGAGTCAAAGCACGGACTGAACGTGGCGGAGGCTTGCTATAGGCTGACCGTTATCCGTTTATCATTGATGGACTTGAAACTGTTTCTTTGAGACTGCCTGGTGCGTTGCAGAATGATTGTACATAGTCTTATGGGTATCCATCTGTGTTACTATGGCACTGAAGCCTGCGTGGTGGGGGTGAAAGCATGGCGGCCAAGCCGGCTCACGCGAGGCGTCTCTACCATGGTCTTGCCTAGCCTCCGTGAAGAATGCCATTGTGAATGGGGCAAAGAGGAACCGCGACGCTAATCAGCCGCTGCCAGCCACATGTTCATCATGCCCGACGAGTCCAACGCCATTATTTCAGATAGGGGTTGCAACTCCAGCAACCGCGTTGTCAGAGACGACACTCGTCGAACAAGGACTAAAGCCACGTGTGGCGAGATTAATTCGCTATCAGATTGACAGGTGTCTATCTAGTGATAATTACGTCTGCAAATGTATTTAGTATGGATGCAAACCACGAAAACCTTTACTAACCTTGAGTAGTGAGAGATGATGAACATGCCACTTTCCGAAGCCCACGAAATTTCAAGCTTGACCCCTGTCTTAGTGCACCATCCGATCTCGAGATCGGGATCGGTCAGGCTTTGCATTTTTCTCTTTCTTTGGCAGTCCTTCCCTTTAGTCCCGTTGTTTCCTTGAACTCGAGCTCCTGTTTCGCGAAGCGTTATACCGAAACCAATGCAAAACCCTGTCGGCGAGTCTCGCTCATTGTCAAACAATGCTCGATCAGACAACGTATTACGGCTTACAAGTGTCCGGAAATTTTTTGAATTTTTGAATTTTTGAATTTTTGAATTTTTGAATTATTAAATTTTTTTACCAACGACAATGTATAATCTGGGTCTCGTTCAGAACTCATAACTCGCCTGAATGGTCTATTCAACCATGAATATGATGTCACTCATCGCGGCGAATGGAGTAACCGCAATACGCAGGTCAGCAAGTTGCATGTTACGAGTTGAGTACGGAGTACGGAGTAGGAAAATAAGACTATTGGCCGATAGTTACGGAGACCGCCTGAGAATATTACAAAGTAAGGTGATTTGGGCGACCTGAAAATTTGTTGGCCGATCAGCAATAGCCATATGAAATACACCAAAAGAGCATGGATCTTGGGTTAACATCCTTCCTTGTCACCTTCGCTTGGCAGATCTAATTGCGACATTCTTTAGTCTTCCAATCTGGCCCGCGATAAGACCAGCATCAACCTGTAACGGCAATTGATGTTTTAATACGCGTAGCCAGTGGCTTGCCTCTCTGAGCCTGTGGGATGCCCGCACAAGTTCATTGATGGGCTGACGTGTTTCCGCTGGGGTGTAAAAGTCAACTTGGTATCATCAGGGGCTGCCTAGTGGGTTTGGAGAGTCATAAACTACGAAAGAAAATGCGAGAGTATCGGACAACATACTCGATATACTGTACGTACTCAATTGGGCAGTCTACAGCTCATGGTGGTCATTGCAAGGTTTTCTTTAAAGGTCACTTAATAGTAGAACGCTGAAATTCTGGTATATGCAGGCTTAATGCTATTCAAGGTACTATGTACAGGAATGCAGAATGTGAGGTCGAGTTCCAAAAGGCGGAAACTCATCCCTCTAGAACCGTGCACCGGGCATGACACAGTAAGCCTGGATTGCACATCTGGTGTCTATGATAAAAAAACAACTCCAACTTGAGACTCGTGAGACCATCATGGTTGAAAGGACCATCTATGACCGCTTAGTCTTACAACTCTTTCTTCTCCTCTACCAGCTTCGCTGCGCTGCACTAATTTAGTGAGCAGAGCGGCGGGCCTTGCGGGAGCGGCGGCGCTTGCAGCCGGCGCTGGGGGCCTTGGTAGGAGTAGCGACAGGGGCAGCAGCGGAGCTGGAGCTGGCAACAGCGGCAGCAGAGCTGACGGCAGTGGAGAGAGTGGTGGGCTGGGCAGCGGCGGCGGAGGTGGCGATGGGAGCAGCGGAGGTGGCGGCGGCGGCAGCGGTGGAAGAAGCAGCGGGAGCAGCAGCGGAGGAGGCGGGGGAGGAGCCGGAGCCGGAGCCACCGGTCCAGACCTCAGGGCCGGGAGCCTTGTAGGTGGAGGCATCGGCGCTGTAGAGGCCGAAGTGGATGCCGGCGTCGGTGTACTTGTAGCCGGTGGTGAAGTCGAAGTTCTGGGGGGGAACGTCGGAGCCGGTACCAGTGATCTCGAACTGGGCGCAGGAGGGGTAGAACTGAGCACCACGGGCAGGGTTGACATCGTAGGTGGTGTCGGACTCGTGGTGGGCAATGATCTCCTGGCGGATGAGGTACTTGCCAGCCTTCAGGGTAGAAGGAATGGTGACCTTGGGAGAGATACCCTTGTTGGCAACAAGAGTCTCAACAGCCCACTTGCCGTTCTCGTAGGTGGACTCCTGGATCTTGGTCCAGATGGCCTCAGCACCGCTGCCCTCAGTGTAGGGAGCGATGTAGGTGCTGATGGGACCCTTGTGGGAGAGGTCGATGATGTCGTCAGAACGGGTGTTGTGGTACCACTCGAAGGTGACGTCGTCACCAGCAGCGGCCTTGACGAAGCCAGTCTGGGCCTTGCCACCGTTGAGGTTGCAGACGATAGCGTCGCTGGTGATGTCCTTGACGGGGTTGTTGTTATCGGGGGAACGGATGTACTTGGTGGTACCGGTGCCGGTGGAACGGCCATCGCCCTGGTCCGCGCCGTTGACCCAGACGTCAATGACCATGGTGTGGGCGGCACAGGAGCCGATGAGAGTGGCAAGAGCCGCGGCGGTGAATGAGAACTGCATCTTAATGGTGATGGGGGAGTTTTCGGACGAAAATTGGTTGGTTCTGAAGTGAAAGTGTTATTGAGGTTGTGCTTAGTGAGCGTGGGCGAACGTCTAGTTCGTGAATGAGTGTATGGCACAGCCAACAAGAGAGAGACTTGAGTACAGGGAAAGAATGACACCGATGTGATGATGGAAGAAAAAGAGAGTAAAAGAGAAGGCGTGTAGGAGTAGGACGAGGGACCTTTATAAGACGTGTGTATGCTGTTACGGTAGTAGGTAATTAGAGCCCCATCCACAACATCTCCCAAGCCGTACGGATACCCATATCAGAGCCGTAGCCCATCTTTCCTGCTTCAATCTCGAATCATCTATGCCCATCTCCGACCCAGGCCCATCTCACTGCACTAAATCAAGGTAGGCAGCCAATCTAGGACTGCATCTCGCCCCCTCATCGCGCGGCTAGAGCTGGCGATTCCGTCAGTTGCCCAGCAAGACGGCCTGCCAGGGCCCCTGACATCCAAGTGGTCTTAGTCCGCAATACAAAGTGTTGATGTGGACTCGTGGAGGGCAGGGGCTTGCCCTGGCGGTGCGTAGACTACGATGGAGTCTTTCGTCTCATCCTCCTCTCCTGCCAAGAGCTGCAGGAACGCTGCAAGACGTAGAGAATGAGATGAGGCTAATGGGTCCGTGGGGTGTTTTGCCCGTGGATAAAGTGTTGGATCCCGCCAGGCCCTGTCAAGCCCTGCTGTTCGGCCGCAACCGAGGATGGATTCACTAATGAAGCCGTTGCGATTAAAGTGAGGATGGGGTCGTGAAACATGCAAACAGGGTGGCAGTGGATCGTGATGAGGCCCCTTGCAGCGGCGCGGCTAACCCAAACAACCTTCTTGGGCCTTGATTCCCGGGGTTGGAGCGACTGGAAGACCCGGTCGAGTGGCCACACCCCCTCCTAGTCTCCGACAGGGAAACCCTCGAGGGGAGTCCTCGCCATCCCCAAGCTGGTCAAGCACTCGCTTGAGAAACATGGTCGAACAAATGGAGACGTTCTCGTTGGTGGCTCGCTGCCTACTGGTGGACTTAGAACCACTTGACGGCTTGTCAACTTTGTTATCAGGACCCTCAGGGAGGTGGCATTAATAAAGTAGAATGCAGAAGGAAGCAGATAATCGCCCAGTTTCAGGTCATTGATGCACGACGCAACGCTAGCATCGGTCATCACAAGTCGGCCAGACACAATACCCAGAGCCTCAGGGTGCTACGTCGAATCGTGAATGAATAGCATAGGCCAGTCCTAAGAGTATAGTCCTGGACCTTGACTTGCTTGCCAGATGTCTTCATTGTCGAAATCGACGAGCTGATGAGGATTGGGCGTTGGCAGTATCATAAGCAAGGGCAGCTCGCCCACCATGGTACTCTTTAAAGCATATCCAACGGCGCAATGTTCTCAAGGGGTGGGTGCGTAAGAGCGGGACTGATGAACAGAGAATAAAGATATGGGGAATGGGTGGAGAGAGTGACACAGACAAAAGAAAGGAATCGTTGTGGGATCGAGAGAATAGGAGAGAGAGTAAGAGAGAAACCAGCGGAGAGTATTGCGTGAAAAATGTGTCGGAGCCGGGCCCGGACATGCACGTCAATCAATTTAGGGATCGGTTCTGGGAAGCTGGCTGGGACTCTGGGAGCCTCTGTTGAACCGAGCTGAGAAGCCAACCTGATCTGAGACGAACCGCGAGGCCGGTCTCTTGGTCCCACCCCCAACTTCCGAGCCATGAGGCATGAGCTCGTACATTTGATGCGAGGATCGGCTGAACTGGTGTGCTGTGTCTGTGGATGTGATATGGAAATGGAGGGTGAACAATGCGGTGACGATGATGGCATGTGTGTGCGTGTCGTCTTACGATCGTATGTTGCATCGTCTTCATCTTGCTGGCCACAGCACATCATTGCGACTCCGTGGTGTCTGCACTATGCTGGGCTGTAAAGAGGGCCGGCCGTTGAAAAGTCTAGCCGCTGCGGTGAGTTGAGCGGCGAGAACTAGACTATTTCCCTGCTCGGATTCCTGGCAGCCGCCGATGGCTACCGAAGAACCAAGCATGCGGGCAAACGCTCAAGAAAGATTCCTCTAGGGGATGGAAGGAATCTGTGGGGGGCGAGTTTGCGACTCGGCTGAACTTTGAAGAGCAAACTCGATGAAAAGGGGCCAGTCCCACCCCCCGGCTGGTGTGTGAAGACGAGTTGGGCATGCGGCGGTGGAGATTGAGTAGTGAAAAACCATGCTGGGTTCGGATGATGGGCCAACTTGGGGGCATGGCAAACTCATTTCGCAAGAACCTGGCAGATCCGCCCGGCGTTGGTGATGATGCTTGCTAGCAGGACTGCGGCGGTGCAAGTTTATTGAGTGGCCTGCGGAGGCGGTAGGCATCGGAGTATTTGCGTCCCGTCTGCAAATTTCTACCGTCCACCGCCCAATTCTTTGCGGTGTGAGTTAATAGGGGGCGGCCGAGGTGAGTACGAGTTGTGATTGTGGGAACTTTGGAAGCTCGGAAAGATTCCAGACCGCGGGTCTGCTGAATAAGGAAAACATCTTCCGCAGATTCCGTGCGTGGCCGGGGAGTTGACAAAGTCCTTTAAACGCGACGCACTCGTACCCGTACTAAGACTTGCCCTTTGGGTTGGAACTGAGACGGGAGTGTAAGGTATTAATAAGTCGTCAAAACTCTTCAGTTAGCTAGAGACATAGTGTCACACAAGCTTCAAGCGTGCCCGCGCTCGTGGGTGAGGATCGATGTGTGCCAGACTAAGACACGGGGCTTGACACTGACAGCGCTTCGAGCTTGTGTCAGATTGGCGATTGGTGTGGCTCTCAAAAGCAACGGTGTGTCTCTCTTACAGTTGCCCTCCACATGACGGTTCTTGGCAGCGACAAGTAAACAAGGTGTGTCTTTCATGCCGGTGGGTGCCGGTGGGAGGTGGAACTTGGGAGTGGACGTATGGGCAGCGGAGTGGTGTCCAACCAGGGGAAAAAAAAACAAAAAGACAAAAAGAGGGGGTTGTTTGCACCTCTGTCCCTATCTGTGTGTCTGCGTGAAATACGGTGCGGTAAGAGGGAGAGGAGAGTTGGGAAGATGGGTACTGGTGGATTATAAACCAAAAAAACATCGTGGACACGTCTTTAGGGTGGACGTAGAAAAAGAGGGACGAATGTGGTCAAAATAAACACCATGCACAAGAGCACCACTTGTTATCCAGAAATGCGGTGTACGGATACCTTAACAATAGAGTTATAGAAAACCTTGAACTCTATTGAGGAAAGACTTCTGTTTGTCGGCAAAATCGGCCGGGGACGGCATGTGTTGCCGGATTCCCACCCTTTGACACAGTTTTTGTTGGCGGCAAAAGTGAGCCGGTGCGTGCATGGGCACTGGGCAGTCAATCATACAAGCGGATCTTAAGGTTCACTTGCTGCTGGGCATTGCCCTGTGCTTGCTGCGAAATGGCATTCTGCTGCTCGTTGCACTTTGGCTTTTTTTTCCATCTCTTCTTCTTGGCAGCTGGGGGATATTCACCTAGCAAATGTTATGCTTTGCCTTAGTCAGCGAATTGGAGTTCGGACTCTTGGAGAACACTGGCTAATACTGATGCCTTAGAACTGAGACCCAAATCGCCAGGCATCAAGTAGCTCTTATCTTATCGCGGGCTGCACTGCTCGGATCGTAACGTCACCAACGCAAATGTTTGTCGCATTGCACCAGCACCGAATGCCAGCACAGCACGCCTCCAACCACTGCACCAATTGACTGAAACAATCAAACAATTGAAACCCGGCCGAATCTCTCCTACGAAACTGGACCGATCACTCTCAATCGAAATGTCCGAACCTCAGAAGCCCGCGACGGCCGCACCCGAAAAGGTCGACGAGACATACACTGAGAGTAAGGCCAAGTTCGAAGGGTAGGCCGCGCTGCTTGCCACATCCAACTTTGTGACAGTCGCTCAATCATACCATGCAGGAAAGCGAAGAGCGAGTACTTTGATCCTTGTCAAGAGCTTGCGCAGAAGAGCATCAAATGCCTGCACCGGAATGGGGGAGACAAGACCATGTGCGGAGACTACTTCCAGTAAGCGCGGGTTTCTATACGCTCTCTGTTGATCGGGGCTGTATTGGTCGCCCATTGAGCTGCAGGAGAAACCGGGGCTAACTTCATATCACAGAGCATACCGAGATTGCAAGAAGGCCTGGGTATATCACTTTCCCCCTTCCCCCCATTGGCATCGATAGCCATATTTTCAGACACTAATTCTATGACAGTTCGACAAGCTTAGAGAAGAACGAAAGGCAAAGGGTGCTTGGTGGTGATGTGAATGGATTCGATTGACATATGCCGACGCCGATATGATACCGAGACGAACCGAGCCGAATCACGTCGAGAAAGTCCTTGCAAGGGCAAGAAGATACGGCGTTGTACATTTTGTAAAACAACATGCATGCATGGAAAGGAGTAATCATGTGTATGAGTAACTCGGTCATGTTTCAAGATAGATACCAGCTCTTCTCTTTGGGTTCAATGGCTGCTGATGGAGCAAGCCTGCCGTGTGCCTGCATGCCCAGTCCAGGCAGTGCTACGGCCAGACTACTAGTCTCTGGATGCTCAAGAAAGAGCAATTGATGTGCCTGACTTGTTTATACCCTAAGGTAGTTCGAAAGTCTCCGTAGAACTCATGACCAGCTCCGGGCGTTTAGCCGTCAAGATCGGCCGGATCGGCGTCGGACCTTTGGGAGGAACGCGGCCGGGCCACGGCGCCGGAATCCTAAACGTGGGGAAAACCGGCATTTCGGGAAGAGTATTTACCCGAGCAACCAATCAAGCGACACAATCCCCATCCCTAAACGTCTCACAAGCTCCTGCTGCACTCTTACAGCACAGTGCCCCTCCAAAGCCAATTCTGCCCCGCCATCCGATCAGAAGCATCACCATGTCCTGGAACCGGCCTCAGCTGAGGAGCGGCACCGATCTGCAGCTGCAGTCGGCTTTCAATGACGGACAATGGGCCAACGCCATCCGTCTCGCTGAGCAGCGATTCCGGACATTCAAGGATCCCTATTTTGAGGTTTGCTCTCATCTCACCGCCAAACGTGACCCAAAAATAGAACTAACCACGTCATTCAGGCTGTGAAAACATGCGCCGAAAGTCAGTTGGACTCACCTTTGGAAAAGGCGTCACCCTTCATTGCCATCCGGAAGCTGGTTCAAGATCCGACCGCCGTGAGGGACCCTGACACTCTGGAGTTGCTCGAGTGGGCTTCCGAGGAGTTTATTGGGGACCAGGACTTTTCCGAGACCTTTGGCCCCTTGAAGCTGCGCTACGTCAAAGCCAAGCCCAAGGACAAAAATGGTGGTACGAGATGCCTGGAATCATGTCTGCTTCACTGGGACTTGGTCAGCGCACAGCAAGTGAGTTTGCCCTGAGCCTGTGAAGGACTGAAGATGCTGATGCGCGCAAACAGATCGCAGCAGTGCTCGACAAGTCATTTCCTCAAGAAAGAAGCTTCCTTTTCTGGAACATCGCCATAACGCATCTACTGGCAGTAAGTTTTCGGTAATGCCAAAAAGCCAAGAAACAGACTAATTCCAAACAAGACCAATGAGCAGTGTCCAGCTGGAAAGAAGCAGCTCTATGGCATGCTCGCCCTGAAGCAAATGCAGCGTGCTGCGCAATTTGCAGAACAGGTAAGGATGGTGGCAATAATTCACTACGGCGACTAATCTGGTTGATAGAGTGGCGTCGAGAAGAACGGCGAAGTCTCCGACCGAGCCATCAAGACAGAAGAAGAGATCCTCCTCTTCTACCGCATTCTCGAGGCCCATGGCTCCAATGCCGAGTGGGATGCAGCCCTGAAGGGCCCTACCCTTAACCCTGTCTACCAATTCAGGAAAGGACGCAAAGAATTGTTTCTGCAGGCGATAGAAGTTCTCGAGCGGAAGGGGCAGTGGAAGACTGTCTACGACCTATGCAAGGATTGTCTGTCAACGACGGACGAGAATCAAAAGCTGAGCCTTCTTGCTTGTGACTATGCGGTGTGGAAGAAATTCCTCAATGCCGCGGGCCAGATAGGACAAACCCAAGAGTAAGTCGAACCCCTTTAACGAATGCCGACTTTTCCTAATGTTAGCAGGACTTCTGCCGAGGTTTCCGAACTCATCAACCGCTTCCTGACTCAAGAGGGTGTACGATCCATCTACAAGCGCAACGTCCGCCTGGCAAAGGTGGAAGCTACGTTCCTCTTCCCCAAGACCACGCAGCCAGGCTCTACAGCCAAGTCAACCGAATTCGAGGAATTGCGTCAGTACATTGAGGTCGAGTGCGAATCGCCTGTCTGTTTCGACGACGTCAGGGGTTTTGTCGAGCGACTTCCGCCACAAGAGATCAAAGCCCTTGCGTATGAATTCCTTATTGGACTGTCAGAAGAGTCTCAGGACGCTGCGAGATCAGCATCTGTGAAGGCTCTTGCGTACAAGCTGCAATACCTCGGACTGTCTTCGCCCCAGACCCTCGTTCGTGTCCCGAATGAGGATGTCAAGAAACCAAATGATTGGAAGTGTATCACTTGCAACACCATCAACGAGTCACCCACCTGCACAGCCTGTGTCAAGAAACTACTGGAGTCAGCCTTGAGCCTGTACTCCTCCCTCATCAACTCCACTGAAATCGGCCACCTTGATTGTGTTCCGGAACTAGCTATCCTCGCAGCATCATGCTGTGTGAGGTTGAGCGGCGCCCACGAACGTGGCATCGACAACCCCACCTCGCTTTCGAAGAACAGCAGACCTGACCGCTTGCTTCAGGCTGCCCTCATCATCGAAGATCAGCTCACAAGGACACCAAAGCACACAAGACTTACACTGGTTTTGGTGCGCATCTACCTAGTGCTGGGATGCGCTTCCCGTGCTCGTGAAGTGTGGGATACCACAGACGTGAAGCGCACCATTATCGATTCTCTTGGCCCCTACTTCTTCGACCGCCTATCAACCATTGCGCCAACTTTGGTTCTTCCGCCAAACAGACCTGAGAGAGGACTCATGCAGGGACTGAAATCTCATTACCGGACGTCTCTCAAGCTGAGAATGCCTAGAAGGCTGGCTGATGCTTTTGAAGCTGAGAGTTACACTGCCATTCTTGATATACCCAGTTACACTGAGCGGCTGAGGGCCAGCTGCACGCTTGTGATGGGATATGTGGAGGAGTCTCAAGCTGCTAGAGCGCTGGATATCCGCAGCGACTCGATATTCGAAGAGCCGGCGATTGGTGAGTGATGTCCATACTGACCTCGATTCTCGTGTCATCCCCTAGTGCTGACTATCGTTTGTAGACGAAATCACCGACGGCTCTGTGCTGAACGAGGTAATCGACTACGGATCTGTACCTAACCTAGAGGCTGCCTCGAGCCGCCCTACATACGACGTTCTGCGGCTGGGCCCTGATCCATCGGTATGCCTCCTGCCACCCTACTGGATACATGTACCCTTTCTAACAATTCAACCAGAACCTGCGTTCCCACTTGGCTCTCGCTGCGGAAAGGTTCTTCGAGATCATGACATTCAAAGCCGCATCATCTTACAAGGTGGCCAACACCGCACAAACGACAGCAGCAGAGCTGACCTTCGTCCTGGAATCCCTCCAGCGCCTGGGCAATACCCTGAGTAGATTCCTTCACACTCGCGGCAAGAATCTTACGCAGCAGGAGGAAACTTACTACGAAGTGATTTCACTTCTGACTACCCTGATTCCCCTCTCCGTCTCCGCCAGTAGAAGCCCGCCGCCTCCCGAGCTTCTGGCAAGCATCGTGTCAGCGATCAAGTCGGGCCTGGAGGTCCTTCGCGCGCAAGCGCTCTCGACGCCAGCTGATGCAGAAGAGTCCACGTTGCTCCTGATGCTAGGCTCGCTGCATGGCCTGTCGATTCTTCGCGACGCTGCCGCTGCCGTGAAGCTGGCCACGTCTTACATCGTGACTTTCAACGATCGTGAGAAGGAGAGGGATCGCTCTGGGCAGAGCAACGTGCCCAAGGATGTCATGGTTCAAGTCAAGGCACTAGAGGCTGCAGCTGGCACTGCTTTCACGGAAGGCAAAGCGCGGGTTGCTCTCTTGAAGCAGGAAAGCAACACGCTGAACGCTAAGCTGAGCTCCTGGACGTTTCAGACAGAGTCTGGAGACGACGTATCAAAACAGATACGCGAGGTAGCAGGGTCTCACGTCGGTGTTTGGTCACAGCGGGTGACTGACAGCTGGCGAACGAACGTGAAGGGCTGGGAATCGGTGCGATGGGAGTAGACGCCTCATTTCATTCATGATGTAGCCCATACCCATTCATTGTTTTATTTCAAGTTACCTAGAGTAGGAGGCCATCACTCAAAAGCTCAGGAGCCCAAAAATAGAAACCCGTCATGCCGTACATCAAATGATTATTACGCCGGGTATGCCCTTTTTTTCCGTAGCGCCTGCCATCCCAAAACTCCACACAATGCTAAAGGGGCCACGCAAGCGGCCCGGGCCTTCCGGTAGGGCGGAAGCATATTCGTCTGATCACGCCTGTGGTTGGGCGGATTCAATGATGCCCCCGGAACCTCCTTCAAGTGGCTCATCACATATGATGCAGTTGCGGCCTAGTTGTACCCCGACTGACTTCCCCTCCTCTTGTGTTGGTTCTTGCGCTGGAACTCTTCCTGCTCTTCGCGCAGGGTCATCCAGACCCAGAACCAGCACAGCATTTCGAGGAAGGCAAAGGTCAAGAAGACACGGTTCTTGAGGCCGTCACCACCCCAGGTTGAAGGTGTATAGCGCGGATTATTCGACTGAACCGAGGGGTGGGCGAAGCGACTGCCGCCTTTCGAGGTTCCGCCATAAAGGGGGGACGAAGGGCCGAAGAGGAAGATGTAGAGGACGAAACCGAAGGACATGACCATGCGTGTCGGTGCTAGAAATTGGGCTGTGAGAGACTGCTTCGAACGATGGGAATAGGAATGAGGAGCATGTTGCTTACCCTGTGTTCCCCAGTGGTAAATCAACCAGACTTCTTCGGGCATGCTGAGGGTGACGAGGTCGCTGATGCCGAGTATTCCAAGCACAGCGGCGAGGAAAGCAAGAGCGGGAGACCTATTCTCGAAGCTTCGCGCATGGGGCTGAAGAAAAGATGTTAGCACGCGAAAGATAGAAAGTGAACCACGAGGAAGGCTTTGGAGACTGACCATGCCCATTGACTCGCCCAGCACATAGACCATCGCCTGGTCTGCGATGGTGGCCGGGTTCGTCAAGAAGAAGTATGCGAGGGTGACATGGAAAAGGGAGAGGGAGGTGATGATGGTTTTCGCTGATATGATCGCCATGGTTGCGGTTCCTTGCGATGCGCTGTATTCATCAAGGAGAGGAATTGAAGCAAGCTGGTTGAGAGAGATCGAGAGGGGGACAATTGACGTCGCAATCGCAGGCGCAGTCGCGTCGAACAAGAAAAGAATGGATACGCTAGTCCAGCGCATGTCTTATCGGAGAGCACAAACGAGGTGAGCTAATCCTGTAGCTGGGAGGCTTATCGATCTGGAGCTTCTCATTCGTCCCATCTGTTGAGACAGGGCGAGGCTTCAGCGCCGTTCAGCGGTCTTCTAGCGGACCTCCTTCCTGCTAGCGCTGTCCCTCTTCAAAGCAGCTGCGCTGAGCTAGACTTGCTTCAGCAGAAGGTGCAGCTTTGGTGGGGGGGGGGGGGGGTCCCGTTCCTGATTGTGTCCTGTCCTGACCGGGAGGTTGAGGTGGGATGGGAAGGTCCTGCAATCCATCGGGGAATTTGTTCACTTGACCAAACATCCCGGAGCTAAACAAATCCCACCACTCTCTTTCACCCGACTACGATTCTTGAAACCATCAACGGCAAAAGATGGCAGCCGACGCGGTCATGCCGCTCGAGAAAGCGCGGCACATCAAATATTGGCAACGCTGCCACAAGACCTTCCTCCCGCACCAGTACACATCGTCCGACAGCACGCGCATAGCTCTCAGCTTCTTCATCCTCGCCGCCCTCGACATCCTCTCCCCCTCCGAGCCGACCAAGGATGTCCCCCATCTCCTCACATCCGCCGATCGAGCTGCCGCGCGCAAGTTCGTTCTAGGCCTCTACCACCCCGGCGGCGGCTTCTGCGGCTCCCCGAACCATGCTCTGCCGAGTGACTTATACGCCGACTGGGATTTCGAAAATGGAGCGCCCAAGACGAAGAACGCGAGCTCTGCAAATTTGGCCTCGACGTACTTTGCGCTGTTGATATTAGCCATTGTCGCGGACGGGCCAGAGGAAGCCAAGAGCGCCTTTGCGGGCGTGGATCGCGTTGCGACGTTGCGGTGGTTGAGGCGGCTGCAGCGGACTGACGGCAGCTTTGGCGAGCTGGTGCTGGATGATGGGGCCATTGCAGGTGGGAGGGACATGCGGCTGTCCTTTCTGGCTGCCACGATACGGTGGGCTCTGAGGGGCGATACCAAGGAGGGGGATGAGGATTGGGTGGAGGACATTGACGTTGATGGCCTCGTTCGGCACATCCGCCAAGGACAGACCTATGACGGTGGACTCGCTGAGAGCTCTCATGCAAACGAGTCTCATGGTATGCTCCTGCTATAAAGGTGATGGTGTTCCCAGTTCAAAGCTGATATGAGGTTGAAGCTGGCTATGCGTGGTGCGCCATCAGCGCGCTGGCCCTCCTCGATCGACCCCCCGACCAGAGTGGAACTCCACATGAAAGCCAGACACTCAAGTCAGGCGTTCCTGAGGCCTCTTTGCTGGTCAAGTTTCTGGTTTACCGTCAGTTTGAATACCTCGAGAAAGAAGACGACTCGGACGACCCAGACCACGCCAACTTTGCGCTACCCGCGTCGTTGAGCGAGCTGACACTAGATCCAAATCTGCGCTTCGTTGGGTTCAATGGCAGATGCAACAAGGTTGCAGATACGTGCTATTGCTGGTGGGTCGGAGGAACATTACAGGTAAAGGGGCATTGCTGTCAGCCGCTGATAACAACAGTTTGCTGACGTCTTTAGATGCTTGGTCACACCGATCTCATCGACGCTGAGCCGTCACGACGCTTCATCACCCGCAAAACACAACATCTCATCGGTGGGTTCTCCAAGTATCCCGGAGGCCCACCAGACATTTATCACGGTTTCCTTGGCCTAGCTGCGCTTGCCATCATGGGAGACCCAGACCTAAAGCCATTTGATGCATCCATATGCGCAACAGATGCGACTGTGCGTAATATCATATTTGCGAGGAACGGGCTCATGGAGGCTACCAAGAAGACCCAAACCTGATAGAGTATTCATCCTGGCGTGATGTTATTACCTGTGAGCATTTGCTGACGGGAATTGGGAAATATCGCAAAGCACATTGGGCGAGTAACAGCGAGGTTCTAAAATCATACGAGAGAAGCATGTAAAGCGTTGACTCGAAGTTTTTTCTCATTGCAAAGAAATATCAACACCCTCTGTTTGGTACAAGGTATCCTCTAAGTATAGTACATGTCGCCAAAAGGGAAATATACAGAAAGAAAAAAACACTATGAGAGCTTTTGCCTGGGATCGTCCCTTTGAGCGTGTTTGATCAGAACCCGCAGTAAACATTTTATCTCGAGAAAAACTGTCCATCACCCTCAATGATGGACGGTAGAAAGGTAGTTGGGGTTGATCATGTCGGGACAGGGGCGGCTGAGGCTTTTGGCGTTACCGGAGGAGCGTCCTCCTCCTGTGCCTGCTCTGCCAGAGCCTCTGTCTCGCTGTCTTCAATAATTTGCTCCTCGATGCGCTCTCCTGGGCCCCCTACAACGGGACTGAAAGCGTCAACTTCCTCAATCTCTTCTTCCGCTTCTTCGCCCTCTTCCTCTTCCTGTATCGGAGCTTCGCCTGACCGTCGTCCGATACCAGAAGCACTTGCACTCCGTGAATGGTTGGAACTTGTGCTCCGTGAGCTGCCTCCGCCTCCTCCGCCGCCGCCTCCACTGCCACCTCCGCCAAACGCCAGCATTGGACCCTTGAAGATGTTCCGCTTTCGCTTGGCAAATTGAATGCCCCCTCCTAGAGCAAAGGGGTTAGGCGAGCCTGGAGCCTGCATTCCCGATGTTGCTGGTGGCGGTGGCATGCCCTCGTTGAATAAGGCAAGGGGAGCCGGAGGACCAGGCCCTCGAACTAGACGGATATTCGACGGGAAAGCGGTCGCGGTGGGAGTGGCAGGGAGAACTTTGACGGAGTGATGAGGCGACTGCCCGCGCTGAAGAGTATTCTTGGACATGGAAGTCGATACCGACCCGTTGGAGCTTGTTGACGAAGCTTTGGAATGAGAGTGATGATGGTGAGGCATTGAACGAATGGACGAGACTGATGACGAAGTGGACTTGCGGCCCCTCAAACCTGCCGAGGAGCGTCGCATAGTAGTCCGCGGGGTCATGGGAGATGGCGACAACGATTGTCGCTTGTAGGATGTTGCGATCCGGGATGGTACCCGCGAGGGAGCAGAGCCTCCACCTGACGCCGGACTACTGAAGCCCCCAGACCCTCCGTGACTTGGCAGTGCCTTGTTGGCATGGCCATTAGCCACTGCACCACGGGGCAGCCCGGCTTTTCCTTGAGGGACGGCAGCATCCGTTGTTGGGTATTTGCTTGTCTGCGGCCGCGGACTTGTGTCCTTCGAGTGTTTACTGCTGCTGCCCGCAACATTGCCGTTTTTATCGACCAGGTTGGGCGTTGAGTGAGATCCTCTCTTATTTGCGTGCCGTCCCCTACGGGTATTCTCGAAGAACCAGTGCGTCCAATTCTTCCAATGTGCAATGATGGCCTGTGAGGGCTTCTTGCGTACTTTTTGTTGTTGTTCAGGGGGTCGCTCTGGCGTCCCGTTAGCCGCCAAAGCTTCCGATGTAGTCACTAGATGAAGGGTCGAACCCCGAGATCTCGCGCTTCGGATCACACCCTCCTTAGGGGGCGGAACCGGGCGACGATGTCTAGACGTACTGGCAGACCGGATCGAATCCTTATCGATTGGTGGAGGTGGTTCCTCTGTATCTGGACTTCCGTTTACCTTGCTGTGCTCGGGCAGGCCGGGCAAGTCCCCCAGGTCGGAGTAATGCGCACTTCTCCTCTCTGACCGGCCTCTTGTCCGTGGAGTTATAGGCCCGTCTTCGAGTCTGATGAAGCGGTTTGTCAGCCCGCCGTCCTCGTCGACCTCTTGCAACACGGGCGCAATCCGCTCGAGTCTGCTGGATGCGGCGGATAGACGACGCAGGCTCCTATTCTCAGCTTCCCTTTCTCGT